ACAAAAAAATCACGTTGGTTTTTGGACCAACTCGGAAATAGGAACGGGAACGGAACCGGATCGGTTCTAGGACCAGCCCACCAGATGGGCTGATTCTTAGTTCTACAAATTAAGAACCGACCCTTTTGGTCGGGATCCCGGTTTCAGTGTGGGAACCGACCATCCCACCCTGGAACCAATCACCCTTACCAATGGGGAAAGAATCATGCTTCAACTTAGAATCATCACTACTTCAGAAGAGCCAAGGAGATCCCAGTTTCCTATGTCCATTCCATTACTTGATTACACTTGACAATGTCTTCTTTGTCACCTTCCCATATTACATGCGTTCAGAATAAAGTCGACCTCAAACACTCATCCTGAAGTTTTGTCTTCCTTTGCACTGAATCGACAATCCAAGAACGATTCCAAGTCCTTAAACAAGTATTAGACATCTCACCGAACACTTATCAGCTAGGAGATGCCCCCCTATGAAGTCGACCTCGGATGCCCCCCGACGAGCCCGGGACCATCGAAAAGTTCAATAAAATCGCTTTACAAAAGCGGGACACAAGAACTAGTAATAACAATCTTTTCGCAAACAACGATTAGATCGAGGCCCTTAATTTCCATGATAAATTGAACGCGTGGCCCTTAGAACTGGAGAATCTCAATTACAAGCTCTCTCTTTCTCCATACCCCATCAAAAGGACTCAGAAAAGTCAAGATTCCTACAGTCTAAATCACTAATTATCACCGCAATTATCAGTGTAAGCTTCCAAAATCAAATTGAATTGATGGGGTCCCCAAAGAAAAGCGAGGGGATGTGAGGTTGATCGAGCAGTCGAGCTCTGTCTTCCACGATTCGCAGGAGGTTTCGAACGGTGGTTTGCTTTAAAAGTGTGATGTGAGGCGAGACATAGTATGCTGGTCACTCTTTTTCTTCCACTTGCATTCATTTGACAGGGCGTAGGGACGGGCTGTCCCTATTGATGTTCACGTATGATCACAGTTATTCGTGATTCCCCGAAGACGCAAATGAACCCCCGAACTTTGGTCCAAAATGCTATGCCGTCTCTGAATTTTTAATTTGTTCGATATAATTCCCGAACTTTGGTCAGATATTCAACGTGATTCCTTGAACTTTTAACATTTTCATATAGTCTAGAAACTACATTGAACATTTATCAATAGTCAAGGGACCACGCTAAAAAGATTAAAAGTCTAGAGGCAACATTGCGCATCGTGCCAAAGTTCAGGGACCGCATTGCACAAATTAAAAATCTAAGTACAACATTGAGCATTAAAGCAGAGTTCAAGGACAATTTGTGCTATTATCCCAATAAGATAAATCTTATATTAAAATCTATTTGGATGTTCTAAGCATAAAAATCTACTTACGTTAAATAATACGAAGAGCCCAACCTTTCAACCGACTCTGTTTGTGTCGCCAAAGTAGCGAGCTTGGTTCGGTATTCAAGTTCTTAAAAAACTCTCACCAGAGCTGCACCAAACGAAAAATATGGATGGACGAAACATATTTTTTTTTTGGTAAGGTGGGCGAAACATATTTTTATCTATGAATTATACAAAAACATAGGTGGTATAATATATTTCTGAGTAATAAAAGAAATTACATAAATTAGGTTAAGTCAATCGCTACCGTACGGTTGCGTGAGCAGCAAGGGGGTACCTTAGGGCCTCCTTCGCGCTCCGTTGTCATCAGCACTTTCGGGACCATGTTGACCTCGACTTCGCAGACTAAAGATTGACAATGATGTAATCTCACAATTATGCAGTTGGGGTGGTCCAATCTTGCACTAATCAGCAGGCAAAGAAAGCAGAATGTGGTTATATGGCAATTTAATCCATTAATTTCTCCAAGCGAGCACCCTAAGTAATCCCCGGGAAAGGAATGGAATCGATTAAGGGATAATTATCGATAAACAAATCTTAAAATTATTGCACGGATGTCAATTTAATTCTAAACCTTTCAATTTAATCGATTTAATTGTACTCAAACATTAAACTAATTAACACATCATTTTTGTAAACCGATTTCGTAACAAGTCGTAATATCTCTAATATCATTAAAAATACAAATTCCCCTCGTAAGTGCTAAATTATGCTCTTGAGAAAGATGTATATTCCTTTTTAAGAAGGACTTAATAATGAAGCACATTTGCTTATTTTCAATTAAAGTAAGATATAAATAGTAATAATAATTGATAAGGATCTATTTTTTCTGTCTGTCTTACTCTTATCCTCACCTCTCTTGAACTTTTACTCCGCTTCTCTACGGAATGTGGGAATGGAACCTCACACCTAAAACTAAATGTTCCCACCCTACATGCCAATTCCCTTACCACCGGGCCGTGTGCCAGTTGGGTGATAAAGAACTAATTAAGACGCTCTCCAATCGGTGATAAGGATTTAATAAAGACTAAACTTCTCTGTCAACTTTTTAGTCTTTTCCAAACGGGACAATGCGATACCAAGCTATAATTGCGATGACCCCATCTCTCTCTTCTTTCAAGCTCTAAACACAATCCAACACAAATGCAATCAACGCACTCACTTCTATTCTCATGACCAACACGCAAGAGTGAATAAATCAATCCGTTGGGGGTACCTAGGGTTTTAATGGTCCTTCCTGATCTTTCCTGACACTTTAGCAATGGCTGAATTATTGATCACGGGTGTTTCTTGTTCGTCCTCTAGACCATGGTTTAAGCATTGCATTATTCTCCTATATCGCATAGTGCATGATAAGGGTGCCCACTTTGATATGATGCGATAGAGTTGAAAGAGGGAAGGTTTCCTATAGAGAGAACATTGTGATTTTTTGGTCATTTGATCTAATTATCATATTTGCTTTTTGTTTCTGGCTATGACCCATTTGTGTTGGCTTCAGGATTAGACTGTTTGATCCACCGACACCTTATCTTTGTAGTGTTATTATTTGTCCCAGCATTAGCTTTTTGCACAGAGATCAGATCAGAAGGTAGGAAGCTACAAGAGATTTGACTTGTGGTTTGCAATTATAATTTTTTTAAATTACTTTGGTACTTGGTAGAGATCGGACAGGACAAGCATAGTTCTTAAAAAGGGATCCGTGAAGGAATTTGATTCGTACAATCCATAACCATATAAATATATTAAGGTATTGTCTTTTTAAAGTGTTATCTTTAATTTCGTCACGTAAGATTGTAAATTGTTCGAATTGATGCTTTCTCCACAAAAATAGCCGTCACCTAGGTGTTACTTGAGCAAATTTTATGCAAATAAGCAAATAATGTAATTTATAATCTATATTTATATAGTTTTTTTTTTGGATCGAACTATATTTATATAGTTAAAAAGTGAATTTTTTTGAGTCTGTGACGAGTGAAATTTTCCTTTTGCCATTTGAATATATAAAAGGTACACGAGACAACTATCTACAGTTAAAGGAACACTAAATCTGATTGGGGATTTTTTAAAACCTTTAAGGCCTCAATTGGCCAAAAGAAAATCTAAAGCATTCAATTCACCCACAACCAAAACGTCGTGTCATCTTTTTGCAGTTATCAATGTTTTTCATCTTTTCCATTTCAAGACATGCTTATCGTGACAAACTTATTTGCATATTACGTAAAGAACATGCAGCCGACAATACCCTTGACAATTTTATATTCCATTATCATGATCCAATATAGTATCAATTCATCTGACTTGACAAATGACTCACAACCGTAATATATTTATCATTTTCTCGAGGACATAGTTCACTTGCCATTTATTAATTACCGAACATGATTGCAATAATTCATGCATGCATGACATGGTTTTTGAAGTGACAAATTACGGATTGAGACCATAAAGTTCTTGTTAAAATATATCTCGAAGTTTAAGCCTGTAGACGAATCCCGACTCGAGATTTATTAAAGGGTCTGGAATCGAGCAAAAGAAAATATATGAAAATCAACTTTCCGAATTGAAGTTGGAATGTGCATTGGAAGCCCATGAAACAGGAAAGTCGAATGCGGAACTTGCAGTCTTTCTTGGTCAACATGTGTCAGACAAAGAAAGAAATTTATAAGAAACAAATTATTGTTTACACGACCAAAGAAAAGAAGAAGAGAAAGTCTAACCTTGGACTTGTTGACCGAATCATGGAATATCTTCTCCACATTGAGTCGGCCTCTGCGTGTTCTTTTGCTGCGGAATATATATTACAAGGAGAGTCGTGGCAGAAAAGTCTTGAAGCACCGTTTTCAGTGAGTGCCGTGGGAGTGCGAGCAACATTCATAGGTGTCGAGTGCTTGGCATTGGGTTCGTGATTTTGTACGTAAAATTACACTAAAAGTTTAAGTGCTTATAGTGATTAAATTCTTGTGGTAAGAATTTGTGCAATTCCTTCGTGAAATTGAGAAATTATTTCGTGAGGAATTGTGAGTTAAACACTGCGTGAGTTATCGGATGTAATTAGGGTTTGAAAAATACCGAGAGTGTCTAAGTGACTCGAGTGTAATCGTAATCTCCGTTGTATCGCTTGATCTGTAGTGGAATTTCGTGCTACTTTCCCCGTGGACGTAAGTCACTACGACTAAATCACGTAAATTTGGTGTCCGATTTATTTTTCTTATTTTGTCTATTTTATTGTTCGATCGCTTGGCTTCCGCAACATTTCTTTATATAGAGTTTAGATTGTTGTATGTATGAAGTCCATATGCCCAAGCTAAGCTATTACTTGAATCTTATGGTTTGCAATGGGACAAAAGGTGGATGTTGGACGTGGACGCAATACAAATGGACAAAAACTTCACGCTCTTAAGGAATTAAATTAAGTAACTTTATTGTCAATACCGTTTAGCAAAAACTGAAGCAAAGATAGAAAGAATAGGCAAAATGTTCCAAAAGAAAGAGGGCAAGTTGTGGTGTTCATTACTCAAACAAAAGAAAAGCAACACGATTATAGTGTTTTGACACAAGCTCAGCACCAAAGACACTTAAATTCAGGAAAAAAATCGAAGAAGGTGCAATTTACGTGGTTTTATTAGAAATTAGCAAATCAGCTTCATCGATTACAAAGACTGTCTTTCTAACTCTTTTTCTGTTGGCACCCTAAATCTTATAAGCTCACCAGTTCCACATTGAATTCTCTAAGGAACTTCCAAATGATTTTATTCCAGCACGTGAAATCATGTTACACTTTGCTCAATCACAACATCTTAAAGTACACCCTTTTTCTATGCTTAATCGACAAAGCTTAGCAAGTGCCATTGCTGCACTTGTGTTACACATCTTTACATCTTTACTTGTGTTACCCATCTTTACGTCATCAGATTGTCCCAAACTATCACATTGTAACATACTCACATGAAGTTTTTCTTCACTAGAGGCCGGAGGTGAAGGCCACACCGGTTGAAGGCAGCCATGAATTCCCAGAAATCAAGCTCTGGACAGTGAATTTCACGGCTTCTTGAGCCCCAATCAGATGGAAACCAGGCCATTGAACCCTCCCTGAGGTCCCAGCACCGGGTCCCTGATTTGCATACTCTGCAAAATAGAGTGTCCTGAGCACTGAACTTCCATAGCCTGGCCACTCAATCCAGCCCCTAGGAGATAATCCACCATCAATGGTGGATTGCATGACCACTGCCCTAGAATAGTACTTCCATGGCCTGCCTAGGTAGGAGCCACCGGAGTTCGAGGTGATGCGGCATCTCTGGACCGTGAACCCGGTATTCTGGCCCGGGTCGGTGCGCCCGTTGGCAAGGATCACGGTAAAGGCCTTGTTTCCACGATTCCGCACTACCAGCTCGCAGTTCTGGAAGACAGCAGCCGCATTCCCGAAGATGAAATCCACGGTGCCATAGATGTCGCACTCACGGTAGAACTGGCGGAGCACGTGCGCGTACAATGTGTCCTGGTAGCCGGCGATGCTGCACCTATAGAATACTGAGTGATCGGAGGCCACGGTTACGGCGACGGCCTGACGACCTTGGGGCCCCGCCGTGTTCTGGAACCCGATGTCTCGGGCTATGAATCCATCGCCGGTGATTGCTATAAGATCAATGAAGTGGAAGATTGTTATCTTTGAGTGTGAGAAATTAATTGAGTCGATCTAAAATTTTCTGATGATAATGCAAAATATTCAAGAAGTAAAATAATCAGGTTATTTATGCATCGGCTTTATTGATCATGGGAATAATAACTCTAAGAAATTATCATGTTAACTTTTAGATGTTCTTTTTTTGGTGCGACTTTTACTATAGATATCTACTATTTTTTCAATCTTACAATTCTCACAATTTAACTTTTATTTCCCACGCACGCCAAAAACCTTCTAAAAGATATAATTATTGACACTTACAAATTCTATATAATTTCTCCTGGTTTTTTAATTGTCAAACTTATGGAATGAAAGTAAAGTAGAAAATTTGTGAATTAATTTTGACATTTATATTTTGTCTTTACGTTTAGCCTTTGGAATTTTGGTGTTATCTATCGAACACGTCAAATTTCTAATGAAAAAATTGATGTCAACATTTAAAGTAATGTTTAAACAATCTTAGTTAAAATGACCTTTTCTTATGTTGCGGTGTTAAATTCATTTTGAATTTCTCATGAAAGTAAGTTTCTCTTGATATTTACGGTGTGTTTAAATGTTGTCACTTACAGGTTTTTAAAAATTCTGGCCCTTTAACATTATTCTTAGGCTCCACTTCTTTCGCAGGAAATGAATAATTTCGAAAATATTTTCCAAAAAATGATCGCTCGTATTGCTTGAAATAATTAGTCGATGAAAATATATTCAACATCGGCAATAATTTATATATAAAATTTTTCACGAACGATGAAAATATTATTTGCTCAATCATTTTTGCAAACGATACAAGTGATATTTTTTGAAAAATATTTTCCAAATGGTTCACTTTCACGAAAGAAATATACATATATCTCTGTATTTATATATTTCTACATAATGCATATATATGTATGTATGTATGTAGAGAGAGAGAGAGAGAGAGAGAGAGAGAGAGAGAGAGAGAGAGAGAGAGAGAGAGAGAGAGAGAGAGAGAGAGAGAGAGAGAGAGAGAGAGAGAACTGAATGTAGCAGTGCCAGACAAGGAAGCACCCCCAGCGTTACTACTATCACCGGTGATGATCGTAGAATACTTCCCGTCTCCGATCAATGTGATCCCGTCCTTGTTGGCGTGGATCTTTTCCTTGTAAACCCCCGCCTTCACGTAGATCACGAACCGCTCACCCGAAGCGGCCTGGATCGCTTCCGAGACAGTCCTGTAATTCCCTGTGCCATCCTTCGCGACCACCGCGTTTGCCTGCACCTCGGCGCTCTCGAGCAGCCTCCTGTCTTTCTTCGACACCCAGTTCGGAAAATCACGCATTTCGCCGAGGTTCCTGTTCTTGCCGGTCCTCGACGGCTGTCGTCTGTGAGTGATCCGATTGACGAGCGCTAGAGCGTTGCTGGTGAGCTGAGCGAGATAGTCCATCTTCTGGAACAAACGAGTCCCGTGGTCGCTCGAGAGACCGTGAGCATCGAGGCCCCGGGCCGAGTCTTTGCATGATTCTTGAAGAGTCATCGCAGCACTGAGCCACGTCTGGACGTCCCCCTTGTTCTTCCCTGGCTCTTTGAGGGCTTCAAGCGACTGCTCGAGCCTCTTGAGGGAGAGGGTCATGGCATCCTCACAGTAATCTGGATGAACATGGAAAGAGGATTCACGTGAGGACAAGAAAAGTCAAGTGTCGTTCATGTTGATGATAAAGACATGGGAAATGAGCTGCAGTGCAAATTACACAGATTACAGGGCCTTTACATCAGTCATGCACCAGGAGTAATCTAACCACGACAAAACAAATTGTCTGAGATTATAACAAGATCATTTTTAAACACCCCATGTATAAATTCTCTTCCCATCCCCATTGTCATCACTATCGAAACATCATCGAGGACGACTGTCATAAGTAGAGCCCTCAAACAAATCAGAGATAAAGTTCTATCGTGGAATGGAACAATCCTTTTCCCCCAAGTAGTGTAAAAGAAAAGGATACACACCTGTAACAGCTGCTGCATGTTGAGATCCTTGGGTCTCGTGGAGGGAGGCGATCTGGGAAAAGTAGGAAGAAGGAAGCTTGGTCTCGAGGATGGTCTTGTTGACCAGAGCAGAGAGAATGTCAGCTGAACCCGAACCTGCCAAGGTCCGGACGCACAGGGTCGGGTACCTGGTGAGCCCACATTGCTCCTGCACATGCCTCAACTGTTCCTGTCCTTCGACGGCCGCGCCTGCCAGCGACATGGAGGCCCCTCCACACATCACCATGCACACCACCGCCCACAGCACCGTCCACCCACCCCTAATAGTCCCCATGAACGAGAGAGAGAGAGAGAGAGAGAGAGAGATTTGGAGGAGAATGAAGTCGATTAAGTTGTTGAGGAACTGTTACGAGGACTTAATGAGAAGACGAGGGGGTGCTACTTATAGCGAGGGAATCGTGATGCTTATCCCGTTACGACTGTGTCCTTAACCAAAAGAAGCGAGCAAAGCAGAACAGTTATCGAAAAATCACGTGTCGATGCTCTTGCACCATAAAGAGAATGTCCCATTGAATAAAAAAATTTACTCGATTGCGACAATCGAGCCTGAACAGTTCCAGATTCAAGAAAATAATTATTTGTTTAAGCTGTCTTACTCATATTTCGAGTATTTGTTAACTTGAGCGGACTGTGACGGACCACCAAATCATGACCGAGCCTATAGAAAATGGGAGCGATGGATATATATAGATCGTGTGAAAACAAAATTCGCGATGGATCAAGAGTATCGACGTATCGATGAACTCGAGAAGGATTTTTTTTGCCGACCCCACGAAGGAGAAAGAGCATTTTGAGTGTTAGTTTAGGGGTCTATTCTCATGAGCCATGACAAGAGAGTGGAGCTCGGATGTGCATGTCGCTCGGTCCCACACGTGGGGAACGGGCCAGGCATTGGCCCTTGGGGAAACCAACTTGGGTGCGGTGGGCCATGTCAGCTTTTGGGTACCGTTTGTACATACGGACGACGGAGGGAGGAAGGAAGGAAGGAAGGAGAGTTCCTTTCCATCTTTGGGCCCTCCTCTGTTAGGTCAATTTCTCTTGTGGTTATATTGCCGAATATTTCATGTACTTGTTGTTCTTTACATACGGAAAAAAACAAAAGTCTCACATGATAGGGTTTCAACTTAGTTTTCTTGTACTTATTGACCGTCCGAGATCGTCATCGTGCAGGTATTCTTTCGTGTCAAAGGGTTCGATAAGAAGGAGATTGCCCGTGCCCGATCGGTCATGATGAATTAAGGATTTCAAAGTCGAGTACCTTATGGTATACTTTAATTGAAGCGCGTGATAATTGAGTCTTTTCGAGGGGAAAAGTTATGCATTTAATATTGTTTTGTAAAAAGGCTCGTGCTTTCTTCCATCTTCGATTGAAGAGCCGTCTGATCGTTAGTTGTAAATCTGAACATCACCCGCATTTTGTAATCAGTTATTACATAGGAGCGAGGTAACAATTCGTAAAACCTACCAATCAGAAGACATGGTTGGAGGAAATTTCCGCTCATCATAAATGAAGTAACATTCACAGGACGAGATTGACCAAGCCCCTTCTGCTCTTACTTATGTTCTCCTCATCAAAGTACCTGGCATTCAAACCCTACATCTCGATCGTATGAATTTGGGGAGAGAACCCATGGATTGCGCATGCGGTTGTCCAACAGCTTAAATAAAGCTACTAGTGAAAAGACTTCCGTTGCACTCAATAAATGAATTTGAGATATGCGCGCATTGCAATGAAATAACACAACTACTGAAAATCGATCTTTCCAATCACACTAAATCGAGATACAAATTTCGTATCGAGATCTTTGAAAACGACTCCACTCGGAAGAGAATCGTCTCGAGAAATCGAGGCTGCCGGCGGTTAGGCGGGCTTTCCGCGATGTCCTTTTGATCGGATCGACAAGTTCGCACGGAACGTTAGCACGAATCGAGCGAACATAGCGTTGGCATTTGTCATTGTGGAGATGCTTGATATTACCTTAATTACTAAATTTTCCAATCGCGCGCCGTCCCCAAGACGTTGTGCCTTTTCAGGTCATGTTTCAGTGGAAAATGTGGTCCTGTTCTTGTTTTTGGATGAACTCAGTTTCGCTTTCAATGTCAATTCTAGTGCAAATTAGCCTCCGCGGAGTCCAAACTTCCACGAACGCAATTTATTCATGTACCCGTATTGTTTTTCTTAAATTTTGGACATTGACCTTCGATCGACCTGTTCGGCAGATCCTTAAATTTCACTAGAAGAAACTATACACAACCAAAGTTACATTGGACAGAAAAACTTGCGTCTATGCTAACCCTAATTGTCCAACCATTTATCAAATCGTGCCCACGAGGGAAAATTGTCCAAAAAGTACTAAACCAATTGTGTGGCAGCCAATTCAGTTATAAACATTTCAACGATTTTTCTAATTTAGTCCCAAGTTTTTCAATTGTGCTAATTTAGTTCTAAACATTTTGAAGATTTGCCAATTTAATCCTAAATCTATTATTTGGATATTTGGCCGGAAAGACTACATTGGCAAATCGTCAAAAGGTTTAGGACTAGACTAGCAAATCATCAAAAGGTTTAGAACTAAATTATCACAATTGAAAGGTTTATGACTAAATTGGCAAATCGTTATAAGATTTAGAACTAAATTGACACAATGGAAAGGTTTAGGACTGAATTGGCCCTTATATAATAAGTTTAGGACTTTCTGGATAATTTTCCTGGGCTCATGGGGACCATACCATATAATTACTTCATGAAAGCATTTTCGATTATCCAATATCCACGATCATCACCCCTTTTTACATGAAAGTTGATCTCCCTCGCTATCTGTAGGGATTGGAAGTCCACCTGCGTGAAAACGATTACGTTCCAAAGCTACTTTCAGCGCGAGGAGATGGACTGCACAGAGAGGAGAGAAAGCAAGATGGCCATGGTTCAATGAAGTGAATCATCGTGTGTTCTTCAGGAGTCGGAAAGTTATGAGGCTTATGAAGAGGGGAAGAGAGAGGAAAAGGCCAAGAAAAGGTGACTTTTGGTGGACTAGAAATGGGGGGTTCGTGATGCGTTTTGCGACCCCAGCCTCCATTTTCCATGTCTTGTCGATCCAGAGCTATCTATTTGTCACGTTCATGCGGGAATCTTTGGTCCACATAATTTTTGGATGAAATTATGTTCTTCTATAAATCACTATCGTATATAACAATCATTCCGAGATGAGAATTTCGAAACCCTAATTTCTATTTTTTTCGAAAGAAGGACGCCACTGCCGACGATATAGTGATCTCCGTCGACTTCGGCAAAACCGCTCTGTTACGACGTGGTGAGCACGGTGTGCTAACTTGAGGAGAGAGCCACCGAAATAGTTTGGAGCCTGCTCCTTTTGAAGGAAAAAATTGTCCAAAAAGTCATAAACCTATTGCACTTTTACCAATTCAGCCCTAAACCTTTTAATTGTATCAATTGAGTTATAAACCTTTTTACGTTTTATCAATTGAGTCTATCCGACCAATTTTGGCAAAAAATCGCTGATGTGGACGCTGGTGCTGACATAGACAATTTTAATAATTTATTAATATATTTTTCGAATTTTTTATTATTATTTTCCTTTTTCCACTAACTATGGCCGGCGAGATGCGAGGACCGACACCTCGACACCTTCACTTGTGGTCAACGAGGGCCAGCAACGCCCTCGCTTGGGCTGGGCGAGGGTGCTAGCCCTCGCTTATGGCCGATGATGGTTAGCCGACGACCTTGCCGGCCACAGTTGGGAAAAAATATATATATTCGAAAAACATTATTAAAAGTGTCCACGTAATGCCGACCATGCCACATTAGCGATTTCTGCTCGAAATTGGTCAGGGGGACTCAATTGGCAAAACGTGAAAATGTTTAGGACTCAATTGATACAATTAAAAGGTTTATGACTGAATTGACAAAAGTGCAATAGGTGGATAAATTTTTGGGTAATTTTCCCCCTTTTGAGTAATGCACCTAGTTACTCGGATGGGTGATCCACGATCCATACACAAACTCACTATATATTCCGGGAGGGATATGAACTGTTCGCATAGCTACAAACGATTGGAAGGAAGAATTGAAAGCTGCGGATGGTTTTTGTGGAATCAGTGGGATTTTTTCCCTTTTCGAATCTTTTGGGGGGCCATTCTTTCAGTGGGATCTAAAGAAGTGCCGATCGGTTGTCGCAATCGACGTGTCAAAAGTTGAGAAAAAAGAACTGCACGCCGAGGCTTAATTAGTGAGCACCAACGCAGTGTCGTTGCACTTGCTATCTCGTTCATGGTTTTCCGGGGGACACAAGAACATGGAAAAGGCAATTCAAGAAGGACACTAACGTATGGATCAATCCTGATCCAAGATATAATTGCTGTTAAGGCTAACCTTTTCGAACGGATCAATCTCGATCCATGATATAATTGCTGTTAAGGCTAACCTTTTCGAACGTTTTTGTCCGTCGGAGGTCTCCATCCCAATAAGTTCAAGTCATTGGATGTAGTGACATGCGTAGTTTGTACATCCTAATGATTCATTTATTGTTAACATTCGATGTAAGATATTGCAAGGCATTCTATGTGTACGGGCAAGATATACAAACACTGCATGTTCCTTGTTCGCCATGCTATCCGCTTGTTGTTTTGTTGTAATTTTCGAGTTTCGTCCTTATACCTGCTTAATTATGGAAAAAAGCTTTGTTGTCTCTCAATACGTATGTCATGAAATCGATGTAACGCACTGTACATGGCCAAGGAAATTAGAAGGAAAAAAAAAGTTAAATCGTTCTTGCTACAAGCTGATGGCACGTAACCACGTACTGTCGGCTAGGTAGGTCACTGGATGAAAGTTTGACGTACATACGTTTGATCTGTCCAAGAATCACCAAGGCAAAATAGGAGAAAAACTGGCGACCGAAAAGTGTCAAAAAGTTCGACCAAAAAAAAAAAAAGCCAAAAAGGGAGAGAAAAAGGGCGGTATTGCTTGCCTAACACTAAGATATATTATTCCAACTATAGACTAATAATTATCTTAGAAAGACTAATCATTCTCTTTTTGTTTGGCTCCTGCGAACAAAATCAATGATATCGATGGAGAAACTCGGGACCCCCACGATATATTGCACAAGAAAAGGGCAAGAATAGCAACCACGAATCTAATGTCACCCAAATTATCATCTCCCACTCATCTAATCCTTTTGTACTTTGAATCTGAGATCCTAATCAAGAATCCTAAATAGTACTCCCAATAATCTATTTATAGACCCCACCTAAGAAAAGGGCTTAAGAGGGATAAGAACGGGCGATTACCTATTAATTACCGTCAAATCACCATTAAGATTGCATTAGCATGAGTAAGTCATCATAATTTCGAGTCCTCCAATGAAAAAATTCCACTTTTCTAACAAGGTACTTGGACTTGGGCCGACCGCTATACTAAGTCCTTTTAGGAAACATGTTATTGTGCAATTTGAATATACGATATTGTTATGCTAACTAAGGCTCATGTAAAGGAAGCTGTCTAACTAGAGTCGCATATGTACTGCTTTCATATTCTTTTGCGCCTCGTCTTTTTGACCTCCTATTGAAAAGCATCATAGAAAAAGTTAGGACCTTCTCATTCAGAACTTTATTTATTGTGAAAAGGGCGCATCAAGATTGCAAAAAAATTGATGAAAAGCAAAGGATTGCGGTCGAGAACGTGGACACTCAACTCCTCCAACTTCATGTCCTGTAATTGTTTGTTACATGCATATCATAGGGTGATAATCACCGTTCTATACACTCAGCTAGCCTCATGATCCGCGTCTAGCTAAATTGATATATACAGCATGGGGCTTGAACCCTCAAGGGACGGCAAAGGAGCTGCAGGCCATGATCTAGGGTTTTCTCCAAGAAAACTTGCCCTGAAATATATGTCATTCTCACATATTAAACTCAGATAAAGGTCCAACATCGAGCCTATTTATTTTCCTAACAATAATTTTCACGAATGTAAGGTTTCCTATTAGCAAACCTAAATAAAGTTGTCATTTCTTTTGTCCCACCATGTATGGCCGAGGGAAAAGAAGAGATGGCATCGTATATAGCATGACTTCGTTGTAATGATGCATCCTTCCTTTGATAAAACATTGGAAGATGATCCTCATTATCAATTTGTACGCTTCTTTTGTATGTTTTAATTCAGATATACAGATGGAAAAGCACACCTTTGATGCTTTTATATATAGCTTTGCATGCTAATGCTATCTGCATATGCACCAGACCACCTTGAAGCCATCTCCAAAGGCAAGCGCAAGGCAGCTTTTGGGCCTTCTCTTCAACCGCACGCATGGGAAAAGAAAAAAGAAAACAAAGGAAGAGAGCAAGCAGCAAAACAGGAAAAGAAGAAGAAGATGGATTCCACGTCAAGCAACACAGGAGGTTAATAGAAAGAAAAACTACATCATATGCACACATACTCATGATGGCCCAAAGGACTTAATGGTCCAACAGTACCTGAAAATTCATGGTTACCTTTTACTTTTAGTGAGATCTAAAACAAGAGTCTCACTGTTTTTAGTTGCTTGTGGTTGGCTCGTTGCAGGGAAGCAAGCTTTAAAAGAATAGCTCTAAAGGCAACGGGGACGACATCCCTCGTGTGCGCTAATTATATCCTCCATCTCGCATATTCCACTTATATGTAGAGAAGGAGGCAAAATCAAAACCCTAGCTATAGAGAGAGATGGCTTCAGGTATTTCTTCCTCAAAAAAAGCATTCTTGTTCATCGTAATCACGATCGCCATCATCGACTTTGCACTCCGGGCTTCCTCAGCGATCGCCGCAGACGACAGCAGTCCAAATGGTGGAGACCTGGTGTCGGCAGCCTGCAGTCACGCTTTGTACTTCGACATTTGCGTAGCTTCACTCCGATCCGACCCTCGCACCAACACGACAGTCGATCTCGCAGGGCTCGCCACCATTGCGCTGGACCAGAGCATCACCCATGGTGAGCGAACCTTGTCGGTCATCGTCGATTCACTGAGGGCCAATGGTTCTTCCACTGACAATCACTCCGTATTGAGATGCTTGAGCGACTGTGAGGAGGAATACTACAATGCCGTCGAGAGTCTCAAGGAGTCGGCGCAGGCCATGAAGGAGAGGGAGTTTGACACGGTGAACTTGCTCGTGTCGGCTGCCATGACAGACTCCGACACGTGCGAGGATGGGTTGAAGGAGATGGCGATCCACGACTCTCCATTGAGCGAGAGAAATGAGCGGTTTTTCAAGCTGTGCAGTAACTTTCTGGCGATTTCAAGGCTTTTGATTTGATCCATTATGTCATCTTATCTTTAATTTGCTCGAACCTATAAGTTTACAACGTGTAAGAACTATATTTGCCTGGTAATCTGGTGTTCATATATAGTAAATGATGGTCTAAATTCACATTTTCCTGCTAATGTTAGCGGTTATACTGGTCAATCCCCGTGATATTGCCTGCTAATTTGTTGTTCAAAAAGTCAGTGCTCGGAATTATGAATGATAGATGATTTGAAACTAGATGACAGATCAAAGGCCTACGCAAATTTCTCTCTAATTTTCTCCACAAAAGGCATCATCAATTGTTCTAACAAATTGCATCGATAAGTTCCTAGCGCGATCAATCAACGACAGAAGATAATATAAAAGCCCAGGATTTTCACATTGTAGAGTCTCTACCAATGAAGTATGAGTTTGTTTTCCTCCGTCTGCAAAAGAATCCATTTCAGTGATCACTTTCCCTGCACAATCCACACTCATCGGTCTGATACTCGGAGAGACTCAGTAATACAGGCCGAAGTGAATAGGGACACCGGCTTGCTTGACCCAATCCGCATCAAGGAAAGTCCCGACAGTGAACTTGGCCGCATCCTGCTTATTGATCCTCTTGTAACCGGGCCACTTCACTCGGGCCTCGAGCTTTGCGCCCGGTCCCTTGTTGTTGAACTCCGTGTAGTACAGGGTCTTGAGCGCAAACTCACCCTCCCATGGCAGCCAGCCTGCCGGATCAATGAAGTCCCCGATTGTTGACTCCATGATGATGGTCCTCGAGAACTCCTTCCAGGGCCGGCCCAGGTAGGTCCGGATCTTGGACTTGACGGGGATGAGTTTCTTGTCGGCTGTTATGCGGCAGTTCTGGAGGACAACCCCCGTGGTCTCACGCCTGTCGTAACGCCCTTGCGCCGTGACGATGTTCTGCTGGTTGTCTAGAGGCTTGCGCACCACGATGAGGCAGTTCTGGAAGACGGCGGTGGCATCCCCAAAGATGAAGTCGACTGTGCCGGCAATCACGCAGCTGCGGTAGAACTGGCGGTGGGTCTGCACGTACAGGGTGTCCTGGTACCCCTCGAACCTACAGTTGAGGAAGATGGCGCGGTCTGACTGGACTCGGATGGCCACCGCCTGGTGCTTCTCTGGGCCCGCCGTGTTCCTGAACCCCATAGCCTTGGCCATAAAGCCCTCTCCAAGAGCAGCTGTCATAACAATGAACATAGTCAAATTTTATTCGCATAAGCGTGCGCCCGCTAAGAGTATGACAGAATCCTAGAGTTTCAAAAATTTTCCTAAATCTCATCTGAGGACTAGTAAGTGAAGTACTTTGTCACCTATGACATTGACGAGGCTGTAGAAATTGGTAAATAGACCAAATAATACAATGCAAGCGAAAATTCCTAGATTCATGGAGATATAGGACAGCATTTGTGACCAGTAGCCAAGTTATAGATGCATACTGAAACTCGCGGTCTGGAAAGTCCTGACTCCATCTACAAAGTTCTTGTTGCCGGTAACAATCGTCTTCCGCGACCCATCCCCGTACATGGTCACGTTAACCATCTTTTTTGTCACGGTGATGTACTCATCGTAAACTCCTTCTTTGACGTAGATGACATATCTGCATTATAGAACCGAATGAGTCAATCTCCAGAAAGCATTACCCAGCCAGGAGAGACTTCGAATGTTGAAGAGAGTAAGGTTCAACAGAAGGATATTCATTAGAAAAGCCAGCTCGATTCGACACGATTGAAACGGGAAGTAGCATTTAAGAATTATTAGTTACCTTCCGGTGTGCTTCTCTGGCATCGCCGCCAATGCCTCAGAGATAGTCCTGAATTTCCCGCTGCCGTCCTTTGCCACAACAACATTCGGAGTCAATTTCGCACCATTATTGCCCTTCAACATCCTCCTCTCCTCTTGATTCATCCATCTGGGAAGCCCATCCTCATCCGCAGCTGCCAGCCCCGACGCCTCCTTCTCAAGGAGGTGTCGCGTAGCTCCTGGAATTTGGAACGTGGAAAGGAACGACGACACCTCCGAGATGATGGCAAGGGAATTGCTGGTGAGTTCCTCGGCGATCTTCATTGTCTTCTGCATTTCGGTCTTCAGTTTACCGTCGGGGAACCCATCCACGCACGCGTGCTGGTAGGACATCACGGCGCTCAACCAATTGTTCAAGTCCGGGGTCTTGGAGGAGAACTTTCCTATACTGTCGCCGAGGTTGTTCACAGAGAAGCCCAGCTCTTCCATGGCATCCTCCAGCAGGTGCTTGCAGTCCTCAAATGCGGCCTTCTCTTGCGGGGTATTGAACTCGAACTGCCTCGTCTTGTTGAAGGCCTCCTCGACCTCGTCGAAGGCGGCCCCGATCGCCACCTTGAGGAGGTCCTTGGGCTGGGTCAAGTTCGCGTTGGACTTCACGGCCTTTTCGAAGGTGTTCGTGCAAGTTTCCTGGTAATCCGTCGAGGAGCATATCATCTTTATCATCTTTTGGGAGTGGGAAATCTGACTAACCGGCTCGGCCGGGGTCGCGCCGGCGGCGCTGCCGCCCCCGCCCGACCTCTGCACGACGGCGATGACGAGGCCGGCCACGACCCCGGCGAGGGCGAGAGACGAGACCACCGCGATCGCGATCCGTTTCCTCATCTTCTGCTGCCTCTCGGCCCGTCGCCGCTCCGACAAGTGATCGAAGTCCTGGAACGCCATCTTTTCACCTCCTCCTTTATCTCTTTATCTTCGCGATAATTCCCTTTTCGAGAGGCGGGGAAGGTTTCTCTGATCTCCCTGCCTTAGAGGAAAAGCTAAGGCAGAGAGAGCAAGGCAAGCCGCGCAAAGGTTTAATGGCGTCCGGGGGAGTTTCAGGATCAAGCTGCTGCCTCGTCCTTAATTTAGGCTAATCTTGTAATGTCTGGTTCTTTGAGACATTGCCGCACGATGAGGTCTCTGGACAGGAGGGCTTTTAGGGTGGTCTTGGCGGATTCAAAAGTTCGTTAAGGGGTGTGACTGGAAATGGCCGGACAGAGAGTTCGTTGCTGTCGTCAAACTGTTTTTTTTTTTTCCCGCGAGTTCTCTCCGGCCTCTGCTAATTTGGTCAAACGTAAGACAACACACGGGCCTGCGCTGACTACCCGGAAACCATGCAATGGATCGGACACGAAACACAAAAAACCAAATTTTGACCCCTCTTTTTGTCAGCAATTGATTTTTAGCTAAGCACTTCTTTCTTAACAAAACAAATCCTTTTGACGATTAGCCTGGACTGAAAATGATCGGTTAACGCAAATCATTTACGGTCAGAGAAATCGCGCACTTTTAAAGTTAAGAAAATGAATTCTCTAAGCTGGAAAAAGGGGAACATTTTCCTGGGAAATGAAATTTTGGCTTAGTTTGTTTTCGCGAAAAAGAGATGATTTTTGAAAATATTTTCCTAAATGTGATCGGTTGTGTCACTTATAAAAATTAAGGAACGGAAAATATTTTTATTATCTACGAAAATATTTAGATACATATTATTGTCGATAATGAAAATATTTGTCATTTGACTAATTATTTCAAGCAATACAAGTGATCATTTTTTAGAAAATATTTTTCAAATTATTTACTTTGCGCGAAACAAACGAAGATGATGATAAGATGATGATATATCACAGTCCTTTTTTCTTCCCCAAAATATTTTCAAATAGTTTTTTTTGTAAATGCTCTATCAATGGGCAAAAGGATGAATTAATAATTCTATCTTATCTCTAATCTATTCTAATTTTTAAACTTCGAATCTGTTCTCTCTTGTGATAACCTTACCAAAAAAAAAATTTCAAATCTCGAAATGTTCTTCTCTTTCCTTGTATATGTCTATAACCTCACCATATTATGTCAATAATTCTTTCCATTAAATAATAATTCAAATATTTTCTACAAAATGATTGTACAAAAACTTACACGCAACGCATGTGCGCTTTCGCTATTAATAATGATGCAAAGTAACTATTCTCGAGCATCTCATACACTTTGGTTACAACTGAGTAAAATCTTTGTGACGGCCCAAGCCAAACGGCGGAGCACGGAGAGGAGGGATGGCGGTGCGTCCGCGCCACTACCCCGAACGTGCGCAGGGAAGTGGGGTACCTCTCCTATCCCACATCGCCTAGGGAAGGAGCCTTAGGCTTGCTTATAAGGCTTGAGGAGCCTTAACCCAGTACGACGCATTTTAAATCCGTGAGGGCTCCGGCCCAAAGCAGACAATATCATGCTAAGGTGGGTCCTTGGGTCGTTACAATCTTATTCAAATTTCAGAAAATAAAGAAACAAAAATACGTGCGAATTTACATGTTGACATTTGAGTGTTGTGAAAATTTCGTGATTGTCAAATTTAAAACAAGTTAAAGCAGGTGGGTTGCAAAATTTAAATTTAGTAAAAACTAAAAGTCAATCAAGACAAGCCCCCTAATTAGTTTGATGTTCTATTTTTTCAGCGATTCTTTGTGCAGACAATAAACGTCTAAATCGGAGGCCGTTTGGTTAAGTTTGCGGAATCGTTTTCATTTATTTTTTGAGTGAAAACGAATAGTTTTTCACATGAAATCGCCATTTAGATGACTTCACATAAAATCGGTTAGTTTTAAAAAATAAAAACTAACAAAATCTATAAACGAATATAAAGATGAATATATCCAAACTGTTAAAATATGTATCGAATTTGAGCCAGAAACGAAAATCTGAATATTCCGAATTGATATTTTATGGGAAGGATTTTGGATTATGGAAGATGCAGATTGAGAATCATATATGTCAGATGAAACTACACTTGCCCCTATCTGGGGAGAAGCCAGAGACGATAAAGCAAGCTAGCTGGGAATTGCTGGATAGACGAGCTTTGAGTGTTATTCGGCTGAAGTTGGCTCGTAACGTCGCATTTAACATCGTGAAAGAGAAGACCACTGCGGGTTTAATGAAAGCCCTGTCGGACATGTACAAGAAGCCCTCTACAATCAACAAAGTCTACTTGATGCGATGTCTGTTTAATTTAAAGATGAGCAAATGTGCGTCAGTTGTTGATCATATCAATGAATTCAATGTGATCGTTAGTAAATTGAATTCAGTTGATATTGACTTTGAAGATGAGGTACGTGCTTTGATTCTATTATCCTCATTGCCTGATAGTTGGAATACTACTTTTATTGCTGCTAGCAATTCCTCTCGGTCAACAAGTTTGACGTTTGATGGTGTTCGAGATTTAATTCTGAGTGAGGACATTTGTAGAAGAGAATCTGGCGAACATGTATCTGCTGCTTTAGTAGGTGAAAATAGAAGAAGAGCCGGTACACATGTTAGCAGAAGTAGTATGAACTCAAATAGACCTAGTCAGTCTAGGACTGGTGGTGTTGTCTGTTGGAGTTGTGGCAAGAGAGGGCATCTTAGAAGGGATTGCCTTAAACTGAAAAACGACAAGAGTAAAGGAATTAGAATTGATTTTGCGGATGATGTTGCAGTTATATCATATAGTAATTCGGATAGTGCTGATTATATCATGTCTGTCACTGATAATTCGTCATTTGGCAGATGGATTATAGATTATGGTTGTTCTTTTTACGCTACACTAAATAGGAACTTGTTTACTACTTATCAGTGAACATATGGTAGTAAAGTGCATTTGGGGAACAACGTTGAGTGCGATGTTGTAGGTGTTGATGATGTTAGAATCAAAATACATGATGGTATTGTGAGGACATTGACTGAAGTGAGGCATGTTTCAGAGTTGAAGAAAAATCTAATTTCCTTTAGTGCCCTAGATTCAGCTGGGTGTCGATATTCTTCTAAATGTGGAATTCTGAAAATTGTTGGAGGTGTCTTGGTGATAATGAAAGGAATCAAGCACAATGGCCTGTATGAGTTTCAAGATGAGACAGTGATAGAATTCACCATGGAGACGTCAAATGCATCGGTTCGAGAGTCTGAATTGTGGTTTATGCTTTTGGGGCACATTAGCGAGAGAAGCTTGAAGGTTCTAAGTGAAAGAAATTTGCTATGTGGTTATGTTGCTAATGAACTGAATATATGCAGGTGCTGTGATTTAAGTACAATTATCAGAGAAACCACGAATATTGCAGAATTAATTCACTTGGATATTTACAGGTTGTCGCGATTTCCTTCGAGGAAGAGTGCCAGATTTATGTTAACAGTTGTTGATGATTACTCGAGGAAGACGTGGGTGTTTGTGCTTAGGCATAAGTTTGATGCTGTTGTCAAGATCAAGCAGTTGAGAGCTTTGATCGAAAAGGAGACTGGGAAAACGATCATGCATATGTGGACTGACAGTAGTATGGAGTTTTGCTCGAAGCTATTAAACGAATTATGCATGAAGGAAGGCATAGTGAAATACCGCACTAGTGCCAATGAACCACAACATGTTGCAGAATTAATGAGCAGAACATTACTAGAGACGGCCCATAAAATGATCTCTAGTGCTGGTATGGCTAGGAGATTCCTGGCGGATGCACTTAGTACGGCGAGCTACCTGAAAAATAGATCCCCATCAACTACGATTGGATATCGGACTCCCGAAAAAGTGTGGTCAGGTAACGTTACTGATTATTTTGTTCTTAGAATATTTGGTTGCCCATGTTATATTCAAGTTAGTGATGGAAAGCTCAATGGAAGGGCAATGAAGTGCATGTTCCTAGGTTATGCACAAGGTGAGCGGAGCTATAAGTTGTGGTGCCTGGAATTAAATTCACATGTTGTCAGTAGAGAAGTTACATTTGACGAGTCTCTAGTACTTTTGGGTAGGAATGTATGTGGCAGTGTTCATACGGATCTAAACGGTGTTCAGCTTGAGGTGGATTTATAACCAGAAACTCCTGAGGTAGCGAGTACTAATGAAGTAATTGACACAGATGGTGCTTATAGCGAGGTGGAGCATGTAAAGCCAATAGTTACTGTAATTGCTGAAATTGACAAGGCACGTATTCGATCTTCTGATAGATATGGATGCAATGATGGTTTTGCTTTATCTGCGGCTGAGGAGGTTATATCGGAGAATCCTTGGGGAGTAGTTAAAGGTGCATGAGGAGTTGGTGTTCAGATGAGGTCCACGGCTATGGCGAAGTTCAAGCGAGGCTTGCTCTTGGAAGACGTCTGTGGCAGTTGAGCCCATTGGGGCTGTAGGAGAGTAGTAGCGAAATTCGGATTCTATCAAAGCGATTGTGACTTGGCTCAAATATCGAGCCAAGGTGGAGATTGTTAAAATATGTCTCGAGTTTGAGTCAGAAACGAAAATCTGAATATTCTGAGTTGATATTTTGCGGACGTCCAAAATCGAGCAAAAGGAAATATTGGAAATTTACTTTCCTAATGTGCAAGAGTTGGCAGCAAACAAAAAAAAAAGGAAAATAGAAGAATAAAATATTCTTTCCTAATTCCTGTAGGAGTCACGGTCAACAAAGGAAATTCCCAGCCATACTTGGTTGACCGAATCATCCAGATTTCCAATTCCAATTCTGAGTTGGCCACATCCTCTTCCTGACTATACACATATAAAAGCAGATTGTGGGTTTCGGAGCGCTGAGGTTGATGAAGAGCGGCGTGGTTCTCATGAAGTCCATGTCTAGAACGAAGAATTGATTCTTGAAGCGCCGTATTTAATCGAGTGCTTGGTGTGGATTTTCTTCATGGAATTATAACAAGAGTTCAAGTGCTTGTAGCGATTAAATCTTGTAGTAAGATTTGTGTATAATTCCTTCGTGAGATTGAGAGATTATTTCGTTAGAAATTATGGGGCTAAACACTACGTGAGTTATTGGGTGTAATTAGGGTTTGGGAAATACTTAGAGTGTTCGAGTGACTCGAGTGTTATTGTAATCTACGTTGTATCGCTTGATCTATAGTCGAATTCGGTGCTGCTCTCCCCGTGGACGTAAGTCACTACAATCAAACTACGTAAATCTGGTGTCCGATTTATTTTTTGGTTCTGTCAATTTTATTATTCGATCGTTTGGCTTTTGCAACACAAAGGATTGGCTTGGTCTCTTCAATTTAGACCAAATCTAAGCAATATGAATATATTGCAACATGCTACTATATAAATGTTTGGAACTAAATGCATATGCATGACCCCAAATTCGAACCATAGGACATGGATGACGACCTAGCCAACCCTCCACCCAAATCGGAGCCCAAACACCCAAACCCCGGGCTCGGGGTTGAAACCAAGGTCCCAACACCGAAACCCCTAAACCTTGTTCCCCAATCCTAGCTTGAGGTCTCGAGTCCGGCCCAATCCTAGCTTGAGGTCTCGAGTCCGGCGCCCGATGTCTCGATCGAAGGGTCGGGATCTTCGGTCTTGAGTTTGGGCCGAGGTTTCGAGTTCAACCATTAATGTCCACCGTATGAGGGGTCAAGGATCTCGACTAGCTCCTAGGGTCCCGCATTCATGCGTTGGGGTCTTGGGTCTGGCCTTTCGGGTCCTAAGATTGGGATCCTTGGTTTGGCCTTTCTGTTCTTGGTTAGATTGGTTGAGGTCTTTGTGCCGACACCCGAGGTCCCAAGTCCAACCTCCAAAGTTTTGGGTCAGGGGTCCCGAGGTTGCGTGTGAGTCTCGATTTTTTTTTATTAGGACAAATGCTACCAAAAACCTTAAACTATGCCCATTATAACACATTTACTCTAAACTTTTTCTGTTACACCAAAAATCACAAACTTGTACCCGTGTGACATATTTACTCTCTTTCAAAATTTTGTCAATGAGAACCTTTAAAAATCTGGCTACATGAAAGTCATAAAGGAAACGGTGTTACATAGTAAAATAAAAACAACATTAACTTAGCTGAAAAATCCATTTAACAGAATTTTGACGGAGGGTAAATGTGTCACATACAAATTTGAGGTTAGGATAAATGTGTTACGTTGTGCATAGTTTGGGGTTTTTTATGTTACAAAGAAAACGTTTAAAGTAAATGTATCACGGTTGGCATAGTTTAGGGTTTTTTTTTTTTTTTTGCAGCTTTTTCCCTTTTTTTCAATAACAAAAAAGCATAATTTTTTGGGGTAGCAGAATCGCCAAATGATCCAAACAAATTTGCAAAATCCAACCACATGCAATGCAAGATAATCAAATCGTTTCAACCGAAAACGAGTAAACAAACTTCAGCAACATTCCAATTCGCGAAACAGCAGTCAATCGTTGTCAGGTTTGTTATCACAAGCTCAATAGCAATCCACTTGCGCTCCACTGTCCCTCCCGGACATTGTTTTCTGCAACTTGGGGGAGGTTCATCGGACGCATCTCCAAACGACAAAAGTCGCGACGCGTTCTTTTTAGAGAAAAGCAAGAAAGATGGCGAGTTCGTGACCTTCACAGTGTCGGCTCGGTGGTGCTCCCCACCAGTCCCCCCAAAACGACAACTGAAAAATCGAAAATGGGCAAAAAACTAAGTGAGGTTTTCACTTGGGTCTTTGGCTCCTTTTGGTATCGACTTGACTCATCAAATCAGTCCTTCATCCCGTGTTGGAGGGAGTCGCTGATGGAGACGGAGATACGTCTCGGTTTGGTGCATTTTGAGTCACTAATTTGATGCCCCTGCAAGTACGGGTTCCTGCTAAGTGCCGTAAGTAGAGGTGTCGGGTTCATACGCATCGTTGGCGTGGAACGTCGCGGATTTCAACCGACGAAGTATATGAAAGAGGGGTCGAGCCATGTTAATTGGATTCGCGTTCGTCCTCCTGCTGCTGATACATATCTTGATGATGTATTAAGTCATTTTGTCTTGCAGCATCTAGATGTTATCAGTAGATTGCACTGCAAGAAATACACCAACAACCATACTCATTTTGCGAGATTTTTTTCCGGGAGTCCGCCTAACACATTTGTCAGATAGTCGCTTTCACTCTGCGGCCCGGAAGGACAGCGTCTCCTTTCCGGTGTACAACGATATTTTTCATCGGTGGGGATAGGACAGTACCAATGCCCTTGTCACAAAGATCGTCCCGTGAAAGATATGTAATTCCTCTAATGGCAATCAAATATTAACTTCCATATAACGTGGCCTCGTATACACTTAGGAGAGAGTTTCTCTCTGTCCTGTAATTCATGGCTCTTAATGAGCAGTCAATTTTGGATGGTGATTTGAGTAAGCTAAGATACAATGCAATTTAGAAGTTTAACCAAAATGAAGCTTCAAATGCCATCGTCATAAGGGAATGCAGTGGACTCCAACCACTCGTCACCAGTGATGAACTCGGACACGGTGAAGTTGGAGGCGTCATAGTAGTCCATTATGTGATACCCAAGCCAAGTGACTCTGCCGTCAGTGCCTGAGCCAGGTCCATTGTTCTCATACTCCCCATAGTACAGAGTGTCCAGCCCTTGGTCGCCCGACCACTCGGTCCACCCTCTCGGGTCGATGAACCCGTCAATGTAGGACTCAAGGACCACGGTCCTCGAGTAGTTCCTCCATGGCCTCCCGAGGTAGCTCTTCATGGCCGCCGACAGGTCGTCTGCGGGCAGGATGCTGCAGTTCTGGATCGAGATCCCCGTGTCCTCGTCTGGGGTGTCTCGGGATTGGGCAGTCACGACAGTGTACTGGCCGGGCATAGGTTGTCTGGAGATGATGTTGCAACCTTGGAAGACGACCGCCGCGTTACCGAAGATGTAGTCGATGGTCCCCGAGATGTCGCACTCTCTGTAGAATTGCCTGAAGGAGTGGACATACAAAGTGTCCTGGTAGGCATTGATGGAGCATCTGTAGAGCGCGGCGAAATCAGCGCTGATTCGGAGAGCAACTGCTTGGCGCTTTGCTGGCCCGGCCGTGTTCTGAAAGGTTATGTCCCTGGCAAGGAAGCCGTCAGCTGAAACCGCTGCGAAAAACAATTAAACCAAAAGAAAAGGGAAAACGTTTCAGGAAAAGCAAAAAGTCAGTGGAAAATTTTCTGAATAATCAAGCTTCAGACCAGATTTATACACTCAAAAAAGGAGCAAGAACAGAGCAACCCAGAAATGGGTATCAGGAATCTAGGCCAGGACTTCAATATTCATTGTGTGTGTGATCAACAAATCAACAAAAAATCTCAGTTGCCATCTAATGGAACAACACGGTGAGTATAAGTTCACTTAGCTACAATTTAATGAGACATTTACCAACAGTTGCAGATCTGAATGTGGTCCAATTTTCTCCCACACTTCTGTTCCCAGAGATGATTGTGAGGCCGGCTCCGTCACCCAGCAACACGATGTTGGTCTTGTAGCTCGGGACTTCCACATTCTCCTGATAAAACCCCTCCGTCACGTATATGATTGTCCTGCCATAGCTGTTGTTAGGAGCAAAATTGACGGCATCGGAGATGGTGGTGAAGTTCCCTGACCCGTCGGCCGAGACCGTGATGACCTCGCTCGGGTCATACTCGTCACTGGAGCTCTGCAAGATCCGGCGGTCCTTACGCGACAGCCATGTCGGAAAGCCCATCAAACGGCGGCCTTTTCCTCCTTTCGGGGTGGCCGGTTTCGGGAGCATGGACAGGGAATTGCTCACATGCTTGTAAGTGCTGATGAGTGAACTCACAAGCAGTGGCTTCAGTGACCCCGATGCAGAATCCAGGCCTTCCAGGCAAGTGTCCTTGTTCGTGAGGGCCGCGGCGAGGTAGGCCCTCGCGTCGGACAGTTTCTGGACGTCGCCGTCCCGGACCCGGGAGACCGATCTCTTCAAGGAGGAGACCGTGATCTGGTGCAGCTCCCTGCAGTCTTGAATCGTGCCTCTCTGTCTCTCCACAATGTTCCCGCGGCCCGCGGTTTGGAGGATTCTGGAGAGCTTCCCGGCATCGGAGATGGCGGCTTCGAGGGTTTGGAGGAGGTAGGTGAGGATGTTGGGGCTAATGCTGATGGAGATGGAGAGCTTTAGGGAGTCGAAGCAAGAGTCTGGATAGGGTGTGTTTGAGCAGAAGGATTTGATGGAAGAGAGATTGTGGGTGGCGAGAGAGGTGGAAGAAGAGGAGGAGGAGGAGGAGGAGGAGGAGGTGGCGGTGGTGTTGATAGCGAGTGTTGCCGAGAGAAACATCGCAGAGAGCGCAAAGAGTGACATTAGGAAGCGAGAAGCCATGGAAGCAGAAGAGGAGCTCCAGCTGAAGCAAGAGCTTTTTTCTTCAGTAGCTTTTGGCAAGTTGCGAAGGTGAGAAGAAGAGAGGAGGCTTTTAACGTGAAATGGGGTTTGTCCTTTGTTGTATTGGGAATCGAAAGTTGCATGGGTTCACCTCGGAAACTTTAGTGACGTGGATTTTTGAAAAGAGGAAGAATGGTGACAAAATGCCACAGAGAGAGAGAGAGAGAGAGAGGGGCGTACGCATAATTACTAGTTTAGAACAACACAAGGATAGATAATTAATTCTTGAAATTTTAGCTCAATGTGCAATATGATCTCTGAAATTTAACTTAATAAAATTAAAAGATAATTACACAAATGGGCTTTGAATTTTGACTTAATATGCAATGTGGTCCTTGAACTTTAAATTTATTTAATGTGGTTCATGAATTTTAACTCAATGTGCAATGTCATCCATAAACTTTTAATTTGTTCAATGCGATCCCTGAATTATTTATACATATTCAATTTAGTCCTTAGACTGTATGAAAATGTTCAAAATTCTCCATAAACTTTAATTGATGGAAGGATAATATTAAATATTTTCATACAATCCAGTGATTAAATTGAACATGTACCAAAATTTCATAGATCATATTGAACAAATTAAAAGTTCAGAGATGTTCAATAAAAGTTCAGAGATGACATTGCACATTGAGTTAAAGTTCGAGGACCACATTGCATATTGGGTCAAAATCCAAAGACTATTTGTGTCGTTATCCCTTAATTTTATTAAAGATGATATACATAAAAAAAACTTCAGATTACAATATGTATTATATGATTCTAAACATTAATCATTATGAGTAACGTATATAAAACACAATTAACCTGATGTTTTGACCTATTAAACGTCATTTATGATTTGCCTTGTCTCAAATACACGTAACTTATATATTTTTAATTTAGTACATGAATTTGTATCCTAATATGAAATATTGGGGAAAAGGATACCACAAATGTCATAACTTTCGTATGCTGCTCACTTGAGGGCCATGATTTTTTTTCCGTTCACTTAAGTGCCATATAACTTTTCAATCCATCACTTGAATGTCAAAACTCTTTAAAAAATCTTCACCACAAGTGCTGTGCCATGTTGGATTTACGACACTAGGGTGAAAATTGACACTTGCTTAATCAATTGAAAGTTATGAGACTCAAATGAACGTTTTTTTAGAAGTCACGGCATTCAGGCGATCGAAAAAAAAAAACTATGTTACTCAAATGAGTGTTGTACTAAAGTTATTACACTTGTGCTGTCCTTAGATCTGAAATATATTGTTAGTATTAAGGTGGGAATTTTCTTTAATATAAAGGAGTTACGAGGGAGAGGGATAAGGCTAATAAATAGTAATATTGGGTAAAATGAGTGGGAAGTACAAGTAAAGTATTCATTGCAAGAAGAACGATCAAATCTCTTGCAAGTTAGAATTTTATATGTCTACCTTAGACACGACTCTTCGAGAAGACATTGTTATTATATATTTTATGTAAATAAAAATTGGCAAATATGTTCCAGATATCATTTATCTATCTTAGTAAAATCGATGAAGTTAGCTCTCAATTTTGAAGATAGTATTTATTCGACGGTTTCAAGTTTCGATCATCCATTGGTTATTCGCCAAACACACTTATCACCATCATCAATTGGTCAATTGGATGGGAAACATGGGATCGATTCGGAACGTAAACGGGTGAAGCCTCGCCTTGACTAATTAGAGAATGTTTCGATTCCGTTTTAACTAAGACGTCTCCAAAGAGAGGGAAAAAGATAATCCTCTTCATTTGTTTTGCAAAAAATCAATTTTATGAAAAATATTTTCATAAAAAAATTGTTTATACCGTTTATAAAAATGAATAAATTAAAAATATTTTCATCATCTACAAAAAATGCTTAGACATAAATGGTCATCAATAATAAAAATATTTTTTATTAACTAATTATTTCAAATAATAATAACGAAATAATGTCGGTCATTTTTGTCTCTAGCTTTTATTTACGACATTCGAAAAGTTGAAAAACAGCACCAGGCAAACATGAAATGAAGAGATTATCAGAAGCATGCATGTTGCTGCCCCCACTATTGTCCCTGAAAATATAATAATCTGGAATTCATTAAAGACAAAAGAAAATCTAACATAGCAACTGATTAATTAATTGAAATTTCCGACAAGCCAAGAAGGTTAAAACAAAATGTCGGTTACCTTCTTTTGACTGCAAACACCGAAAGCAATTTTTATGAAGAAATTTATCACCGAACATTGTCGAATACTGCGGGTCACGTGGGTGAGGATTCTTGTGACCAAGTTTTGTAGTTTTCCATTGCAATTCAAATTCGAGGGATTCAATCCGCTTTTGGTGTTTGGATAGGGTTTGGTAGTATTCCACTTGATTGAGCTCGCAGCATAAGATGAAATGCTAAATTATTCCTATGAACTTTTAATGCATTTGAGAACAATGCATCTGGTCATACTCTAATCTCGTGCATGTGTTTGGAGTCAGAGAATATTCGGTGATTTGCGAGCAGCCGTGGCATGTCCCGCTGCTGATGGCATGCATCCATGCGCTCTGAGCCAATTACAAATTGACACGTATATGTTAACATGGATGTAGATAAAAAGAACTCTCTTCCTCCTCCGACTGTACCCACTTGAGCCTGATCTCCGCGCCTCCCCCTGCCATCGCCATCGGCGGAGCTTGCAGCACCGCATCCAGGCTGACGATTGCCGGATGTCCAAGCCAAGCCACTCTCTTCGTCATCTTTGTGGTCGGCTCCGTCTTCCTTCAAAGCCGTGCCTCCGGATCTGACGCATGGCGAAGGTTTGGTGAAGCATGGCTTCCGTTCTAGAGCATTGCTTCAGACTTCCAGATCTGTAGGCCTCATTGCGGCCGCGGACGGAGCTCAAGTGTCAAGAAGCAAAATAGAGGAATAGCCATGCAAAAGAGTGACGGGATTTGGAGGTGCGGCAACAAAGGCAAAGGGAGGGAACTCGCCGGATTTGGCTTATGATTGAGATCGAGTCGTTGGCTCGTCCATGCCCGTCGGCAACGAGCTTAACAACCTTGCAGCTGGGCGCGACGGCCAGATCTAAAGAGTCGGCCAAAACGATGCCTGAACGCGATGCCGGCGGCCAGATTTAGAGAGAAAAATGGATGGTGAAGGAAGAAAAGAAAATTCGTATTTTTATTCTTATTTTGTTATTCCAACTTAGCAAACAAAGTGTAAATATATTATTGCACATAAGTAAAATAACACGCGTCACATCAGCAATTGAGGTGGCGTTGTGCAACTCCCGAATATTTTCTCGTGAGGAAGTTCAAAGGCAACACATGCGATAGGATAGAGTCTCGCAGAAGTGACAATCTTCATAAAGGCACGTTAGAGGCTAAGCCAATCAAGAATTGAATGAAGCAATTGACAGGTGAACAAATTGCAACCCAAATTGGCACATATGGTGGAACGTCATTAAATTTCTCAACTTCGGGAATTAAAAACTACTCTAGGCCAGAGCCACGGGCACGGCTGCACTAGCCAAAAAATTGAACTTACATCAGTTTTTTTTTTTTTTTTTTTTTTTTATAACCGAGGATCCACCACCATTCCCCGACGAGCCCACACGGTGTAATCTGGAGCGCCTATATCTCGTGGAGAAATTTCAAAGAACCCACCACCAAAGCCCCTCACTTAAATGACGGAACCGAGCGGGGATTCGAACCCAAAACCTCTCTGAGGGAAGGAAAGCGCCTATCAACTCGACCATGCGCATGTGGGTCTGAACTTACATCAGTTCATTAGTATTTTAAGCTATATTCCATAGGCCTCCACATGTCCAAGTCCCCACGCTAATATCCCTAGATTATTAAAAAAGAAAAAACCTAAGTATTCCCTTTGATAGTAGCAATTAAAGATGAAAATAACACTAGATTTTCTATGAATTGACCTTTATGCTTCGAAAAGTTAAAACATTAATGACTAAACCTTGGGTTATCGTACCATGTCAATCATACAGATTTTCACGACATTTTACCAATTAATTCCTACTTTTAGCACTTATTCACATTTCGGTAGCTCCATAAATTTATTTAAGATGCGCACGACACTCTAACCCATGACATATGCAACTCATTTATAACGTGCATTGTCTTTCTTGTTGACGTATAAAGGAAAGTGAGAGGACTGATTCAAACTCGAGACTTTAAAATATTTCATGAAACATGCATGAACCAAGACGGGTTTTTCGAAATCGCTCGACTTCTCGGAACGTGAAACTCAACATGAGACGCTATCGAAGTTCTATTTAGCCTTTTTATTGGAATTTTAGCATGCAATTGTAGCACCATATGAAAAGAATGCAATATTACAAATTAAATTTAGGAAAGACCTCATTTTATGTAAAATCTAAAGATGGTACTTTCCAAATTTCATGTAGATTTGATCAGGGAAACTAGCCATCTTAGGATGACTTCAGCAAGTTCCACAAATCAATTTGACTAGAAATGATTAAATAATTAATCATAACAATCTTTCAAATCTAAGTGCGTTCTGAAATGCGTTAAGAAAATAAAATAATTCACAAGGAAAAAAAAAAGAAAAGAAAAGGAATGGCCACGTAAGTTACGGAGGAAAGATGCCGTGGGACCATGGCATGCAGAAAACGACAAAAGACCAGTCCGACGTGGAAGTGTGCGCACCGCGTCTGTTCCTAATACAAGCCGACCCCCGCACGGGCACTTTAATGCCCTTCATGTTGGGAGAAATTACGGGGATGCCACTGTTAGGTGTTATCCTCATGGACCTTCAAAGCTAATGTTCTTCAGTTTCTTTATTCATCATCGTCTCCGAATGATCAGATACAATTTTTCTCATTCGATGCTCCGGTTCGTTTTCAGAGACCGGGAGAGTAGGGAAACTCCGTGGAACCCAACCAGCTGCCCGCGGCGATGAACTGATCGGCGGTGAACGCTTGAGCTTCAGAAGCCGAAATCACTCTGTAGCCCTTCCATGTGACCCGGTTCTCGGTGCTGGCACCGGCCCCGGTGTTCGCGTGCTCCGCGTAGTACAGAGTGTCGAGGGCGAAGTTGCCGTCCCACTCGTACCAGCCTGCGGGATTGATGATGTCGCTTATGGCGGTCTGCATTATCACGGTCCTCGAGTACGTCTTCCATGGCCTACCCAGATAAGTTTGGAAGCTCTCCTTCACTGCCAAGAGATCTGATGTTGCTCCAATTCTGCACTTTTGGATCACTATACCTGTCGAACAAACGGATCGTGTTTTGAAACGGCGAAGTTTCGAAACTATAATTGCTGCAGTGAAGTTTGGGGAAAACTACCCGTGTTCTGGTTGGGGTCGTCGCGGCCCTGGGCAGTGACCATGTTGCGCTGGCCCGGGTTGGGGCGGCGTGCGTGGATGTCGCAGTCCTGGAGCACGGCTGCCGCGTTCCCGAAGATGAAGTCAACGGTGCCCGCGACGAGGCAGCCGACGTAGAACTGGCGGAGGGAGTGCACGTAGAGGGTGTCCTGGTAGGCCAGCATGTCGCACCGGTGGAAGGCGGAGAAGTCCGCCCCGACGCGGAGCGCCACCGCCTGGTGCTTCGACGGGCCCGCGGTGTTCTGGAAGGTTATGTCCCTGGCCAAGAACCCGTCCCCAACTACAGCTGCAAGCATTTCAGATCCAATCAAAGATCCGGAAGCGACCCGTTGTCTCGAGATCTTAGTAGAGTTTTCACCCTGTATAATCAAATGTTTTTCTTCTTGTTTTTCGATTTCCTTTCTTTCTAATTGCGGAAATTTCGAAACTGCAACCGAGATATTTTCGGTGGTTTCGCAGTGCTTATCTTTATGTCTTTTTCTTGGTTTTTTCAAGTCGATTGACCAAGTGAGATCTAGCGATCGGAATTTTCCGAGGACAGGACACACGAGGCCGACAATTTTTTCTTGGTTTTCTTTCCTAGATCAAAGAGAGTTTAACGTCAGGGTAGTTGGCATCTTAATGCAGAGCGCACGTGGCATTGTGAAAATTTTCAATAAACGACAATTATGACGGAAAGAGACAAGACAGATTAGTTTCGAAAAGAACGAGCAGAGAAGAGCGAGAGGTACACACTTACCAACAGTTGCGGAGTTGAATGTGGTGCTGCCGTCCACGACGTTTCTGCTTCCGGTGATGATGGTGCTGGTCCTCCCGTCTCCCATGAACATCAGGTTGGTCTTCTTCTTCGGGACCTCCACGTTTTCCCTGTACACCCCCGCCTTTATCCTTATAATGTACCTCCTCGCGCTCCCCTCCGGCGCAGCCGCCACCGCTGCGGATACCGTCCGGTAGTCCCCGCTCCCGTCCGCCGCCACCGTCGCGTCCGGCGTCACCGCGGTCGATTGGAGTAGCCGCCTGTCCCCGGCCGACAGCCACTCCGGCCACCGTGTCGGGCCCTCCTCCTCCTCCTTCAAGCGCCTGTTGGAGGAGGAGAGCCGCTCGCTGGCCACGTCGGCGTCGGTCATGTTCTTGACCATGGCCAGCGCGTTGCTGCACAAGTGGAACACGTGCGTCTGGCCACCCAACAGGGCCTCTCTAACCTGTGAGCGAAGAACGAGGCGTTATGGTACCAATGTAATTTTGTGCCATTGGGCCTCGCATAAAGGACCTAATCGTCATAAAAGAAATTTCCGCTCAAGAATCTCCAAGAATATTTCACCTTCTTGTCGGAGGAGCCGTGCGAGAAGCCGTCGAGGCACGTCTCCTGGTTCGTCATGGCGGCGCTGAGCAATGTCTTCATGTCCTCGGCGAGCTCCGACACCGACTTGTTGCCCCCGCTCGGGTACGCCAGCAGCTCCACCAGGGTCTCACGGACTTCGTCGAGGGTGTCGTCCACCATCTCCAGGCAGTCGTGGAGCGCCGTCCTCTCCCTCGCCGTCAGCCCCCTCCGCACCGCCGCCACCTTCTTGATGGCGAAGTAGTTGTGCTGGACGTAGGCGATGGTCAGGTTCAGAGCCAGCGTGATGACGTCCTTGGGGGTCTTCACGGCGCTGGCAGCTGAAGATGGCGAGGAGGTGAGCTGAGAGAGGCAGAGGTCGGGGTACAGAGTGGAGCTGCAGGAGGACTTGATGAGGGACCGAGCTTCCCGGTGGCGATCGTCGATGGCGGAGCTTCTTGGCGGGACTCGGGAGGCGAGGCCATAGACGGCGGTGAGGGCGAGAGCGAGGAGGAAGAAGGATGAGAAGATGGCGAAGAAGAGTTTTCTCTTCCTGTTCTTGGGTTGGGCGTCTTCGGAGTAGCGCGGCATTGTTGGGGCCGATGATGAAGAATGCAGAGAGAGAAAGATGAGAGTGTTCAGCAGGCAGCCGATGGATTTGGGTGAGGCCAAGCTATGGAAGGACTTTTGGGAGAGAAGAAGGGTCAAAATAGGGACCCCAGTAAAGCAATTTGCCTATGCTCGGTTCTATGTAAGCTCGACAAGTTGTTTCCTGAGTAAAGTCCCACGTTGATTTCGTGTCATTACGCACCACGTTAATAACATATTGACAGGGCAGTTCATGAGTTTAGTCTGCATAGCACGTATGTCCATGCATGCTAAAAACTAAGACCAGAACGTTTCGCCGACAGCTAAAAAGGACGAAGGCATCATTAAAGGGCCCTCTGTCGCCGGACGTGGGTGAGTTATTATTGCACTCAGATAAGATAGATTGGGTGGTCTCTTTTATGAACCACAGCACTGATGTCTCCCTCTGAAAGCTGGTCCACCACCACATTAACCATCCAGTGACAATCACATGGGGAAGAGAGAAGAGAAAAGCCTGTCGTAGGAGGCTTTTCATGTTCGTATCAATCCTGTATCATTTTGTAGTTTTGCGTGCAGTGTTTGCTATGGTCATGCAATGGGTCGAGAGGCAGAAAATCATCATTGAAGGGGGGGCCTAAGTACGAATGAGTTAGTCGGAAGACCGAAAATGGAGTTATACATACGAAGATCGATCTAGAGACGGCGTAGAAAATATCCTCGATCTAAGGTGGGAGACCGAAGATGGACATAAGACTGCTCGAATTTGTGCAGCAGGCAAAACTCGAGAAGTACTAGGTCTAGCAGGGTATCGCGACGCCGTCGGCAACTTTAGCTGAGAGAAGCCTTCGAGTGGATTTCCGAGAATGAACGACAAGGATTGCCCCTTCTACTTTCTACCTATTATTTATTTGGCATGATACCCTAAAAAACATCTTACTTTAGTTTTTGTCCCAATTTTACCTTTTATCTCATAAAAAACCTTCAACTTTAGATTCAGTTCGGCAATTACAATTCTACCATAAATTTTTATTTGTCTTATAAAAAACCCTCAACTTTTGGTCACGTCCCAATTCTACCCTAACTTTTTTATTGTCCTATGAAAGACCCCCAACTTTAGGTCTTAATCCTAATTTTACCGTCCAATCCCAATTTTACCCTAAAATTTTTATAGTATTATAAAAAACCACAAACTTTTACTTGAGACACAAATCTGCCATCATCAACCCTCAAATCCAAAATTTCTCATCGACAACCGAGAGATGGAAAACTCCTAAGCACGAGCTGTTCGAGCGTCCCGAGCGCGAGTTCTCTGACCGCAAAAGATGGAACATTCCCAAGCACAAGAGATTGGCGAGCGCAAAATCACTAAGGGCAATTTTGACGAAGAGTTAATGCAGAACAGATTTGGGACTCAAGTAAAAGTTTGTGATCTTTTATGAGGCAAAAAAAATTAGAGTGAAATTGAAACTAGACCTAAAGCTGAGATTTTTTTATGAGACAAAAAAAAGTTTAAGGTAGAATTGGTAGTGCACCTAAAGTTGATGATTTTTATGAGACAAAAAAAGTTTAAGGTAGAATTGGGACTGGATCTAAAGTTGGAGATTTTTTATGAAACGAAAAAAAGTTCATGGTAGAATTAGGACATGACCTAAAGTTGAAAGTTTTTTATAAGACAAAAGGTAAAATTGGGACAAGAGCTAAAGTTGAAGGTTTTTTAGGGTATTAAGCCTTATTTATTTCAATCGATGGCGGAAAGGTGTTCCGCGTCCATGTTTTAAATGAATTTTAGCCACGCATAGAATCACTCCAAATTCTTTCTTTTATGAAGCTTTATCGTAGATATCATTAATTAATCCAGGATAATCTTAATCAGGCTTTAAGAAGATATAGGGCCAGCAAATGTCAGCAAATTAGCAAGAGAAGAATATCTCGGCTATCCGAATCTCTTCAGGCATTCAAGAATGGTCCAGACAACATTAACTCCTTACATAAATATGAGCACCCAGGATTGCCTGGAAAGGGGCCCCCTATCCAATTGAATTCACTTAGTTTGGACCCCCCAAAAAATCGAAAATTTCTCTCAGAACTAATCTTTTTACCTTTGGCCGTGGCCCAGCTGATGAGTACTGATTGAATGTCTATGATTTGAGAAGACGATTCAAGAGTCCAAAGATGATGTTATACCCTGATTTCATGGTGTAGAGATGTTATACTCAGCATGTTCATTTTGCTCACACTATCTATCCAGCTCAAGATACCAGAGCTCTCAGCAGATTACGCACTGATCTGGTTATTTCTTGAGATTTGAGTAGCAGAAAGGTCGTATATACTTTCTATAACGTTGCATTCAGACCTTCCCAAATAAATACAACAAAGTTGATGAATTCCTAGTCATAGCCGTCCTCAAGAGGTACCGACACTCGCATAGTGTTCCCCTACCGTCAATAGTAGCATACTAACAAGACTAATTGATCCCTTCAAGACATAGAAGGCTCGACTAAAAGAATGAGCTAAACAGCGAGGTGACCTCTGTTGGCATCAAGCATCATGAAGCTCCAGGCGCAGGAACTTGGTTGCGATGGTTCTTGATCGAGTCATGGTGTACCCGCAAGCCTCACTGCTCCGTCACAAAACTAAGCAGCAACCAAAGAAACCAATCGTTGCTCAACTTCTTCCCAGTTACGGACTTTTGTGACCAGGGGATGTTTATCGATTGACTCTGTCTTGCACCATGGATAGGAATTCTCGTAATCGAAAAGGAGAACCTTGATTCCGACATCGGCGCACTCGATAGCATATCTTGGATTATCGTCAATCAGAACCTTGGCTCCCAAGGACCTGCCAAAGTGGTTTCATAAGTTGAAACTAAGCCAATTGTTCCTTGGTGTTCGTTTTCAGCTGAATGTCTAAAGCAATATACAACTTTACACAAAGGACACGAAGAAAGAAAAACTCGAGTATTCCTAAGGCTGCCCATTTTTTAGATAAGCTCTTCTCTACCCAAACTTATTTATCCTAACATTTGAGACAACTATATAGAGAAAAAATCATGTGTGGCACAACGGTTTGATGGGTGCACGAGAGTGTCCTTTTCACCCCAAATGACAGCTCTAGTTCTCCCCCCGTGATATACAAACAACCAACTACCCGACTTACAAAAGTCAAGAGACAGGTTTATAAAGCTCAAATGTAAGAGCTGTCCAAATGCATACCTGCATATTTCTGACTTAGGCCTAGATTCCCCATTTAGCGCAAAGTGATTCCCAAAGTGAATCTCCTCAAACAATCCAGGATAATGCTTGTCGATCCACTCTATCGTGTGGTCCTTGATTGCATTCTGCCTCGACCTTTACAAGGACATAAAAAATTCAAGATCATCTAATCCTTAGATTATCTTAAGAGTGAAAGGAATGAGTTTGAGCTTGCATACGTGACCACTGAGAATTTACAGTGTCTCGCTAATTTGTGAAGTACTCTCTGAGCACCTGGCAATGGGTGAATCCCCTTCTTGAAATACGGTGTCTTAAAGAACTCATGAACACGTAGATCAGCTGTCACAACAAGAGTAGCTCTCAAACATTGCATCTTCATGGACATAACTTAATGCCATCCAGAAACTCACATGGACTAAAATAGAACTGGACGGAACCACTAACCACTTCTCAGGAAACTAAACTACCTTTGAAAATTCTGATGCCATTGTTAAAGCACATAATAACTTCTTTAGGGAACCTCTCATTTGTCTGATTTTAGTTTTTGGACAAGTTCTTCAGTTGAACATGTGTGAATGATCAAGCAGCCAACTTGTGAAAAGACAGAAAGAATCGAGATAGAAAGCCAATCGCAGGCAAAAGTTTTTAACCGGCCTTTTTACAATTGCATACAAGGACTACCGCCAGAAAAAGCTTTCCCGGTGTGCAGGGTAACCGGAAAAAAATGGATAGAACCAATAGTAGAGTAGTACCTTCATTGCGAGAACACCCCCAAATCTGCCACAGAAAGATGAGGGAACATTAGAGAAGATTGCATGCTGGCCAATGTACGTATGCATTAACTACATATATTATTTATTATTTGAGACAGATTACAGCACCAGAAGAAGACCATTCTCATAAATAGTGGCAACAAGAGAACGTCTTAAAATAATGTAAATAAGATGTCAAAATTCAAGAATCCATCAATATTATAGCTAAACTACATAAAAATCAGCAAATGAGCGAAGAATCTATCCGTTCCCAGGGATCCAAGTGCAGCTATATGCATAAACAATGTCGAGATCATGATACAAAGAGAATGAAGAATGCTTATTTTATCTGGGAAGTTCCAACAAAGAAGAGCAATAGAAAAGGCAATCAGGAATGCACTCAGACTGGTACTAGCAAGGCACCAACCACCATATATCAGATCAAGCAATTGCTTCTGCATTACAGCATAAAATTGTAAACCAATCCAATCAGCACTCTCTGGCCTGCCAGTTCACTTTGATTTAAAGTTTGATGCTGATGCTGGACTGAAATAAGCTTAGCTAATACTATGGTCAAACAATACTAAATATTGCTCCTTTCAATGACTAGGTCCCCATAAACAGAGGAAATAGATCTAAAAGAGCACCTTAACTCTAGCAACAAGATAATAATAGATATCAGCCAATCAATTATGACCCTATTCAAGTTGTATTGTACTGATTTATTTACTCAACTCATGATCCAATTGAAGTGCTTCTGTGGAAGTCGAGCAATCAAACAGGGGAAAATAAATTCAGTGACTGAACAAAGAGTGCAAATTCAAAGACCATCCATACAGTTTTCGCTTGACACTACCCACTATTTGAAACGTGATACTCCGAGAACTCGCAAACATGATACTCCAAGACCAAATAATTTGAGGATTAAAATAGCTCAATGGTCGACCATTACCTTAAAGAACTCGTACACGTGATACTCCGAGACCGAATGATTTGAAGAGAAACGATCCGCAATGAATCTGTTGAGAGCTGAGACAAAGTTACCCAATACTGCCAAACAGCAGGGGGAGAAATTCCAAATAACCGATCAGAAGAGACACCAACAGGAAAAGAGAGAGAACCCATCCATCCAAAACCAGAACAGAAGTGAATTTGAAGATGATGAATAGGTGGGTGAATGTTCTGGTGCAGGAAACACACGAGATGATTTCTAGCGGTTATGGCAAATGTCTGCTGAAAATATGACATCCACTATGACTCGTAAACATGACCGACACCGGCAGCTACCAATGAAAAAAAATGTCTTCCTTCTGACTTCAAGAGAAAATATTGCCAAGTCAATATCCTCAATATTGACCAGAAGTCTCGAATATATATTGTCAACAAGAAACGAAACTGATCAATTCAATATGCACACACTAACAGTAATCCCCAAAAAAAATTTGCAGAGAAGTTTTTCCCACCACAAGTACTCTTTCTTATTTAGGTAAGGTACATAAGAACTCATTGTACTTCAAACAGATAAACCGGAACGTAACAATCAAAGCGCCATGGAATCGAACACAATATTCGAGATGGATTGATACCTTCATCGATATCCACCGCAACTACTATCTTCTCTGGTGAGTTCTGGCGCAGGAAACCAGAATGGTTGCTCCATCGACTACCATTTACAGATCCAGCATCCTTCTTATCTTCAAACTCCACATCCACACGATGGAGCTTGAATTGTTGACTTAGAGCAATCGTGAGAGGATTATGCATAATGCTCCTAGAATCAGCATCCCCCTTCTTTTTATGAGACTCGAATTCAAAGCACCCCTTAAGCGTTAATCCGACTCCACCTCCCTTAATCCTAAAACCATTGCAAGTATCGATCTTGGGCACAACTTTCCCCACAAAAAACGTGTTTTGAATTGGCAAAGAGGGTGAAGGGTGTGTCGAATTATGAAACCCCTTCGAAAATAAAGGATCTTTGATGAGTAAAGAAGACATGAAACCTCCCTCGCTCTTTAAGTAACAATGCCTCGCACAATCTTGCTGAATCAAGCGTCGCAGCAAACTGCCCAGCCCTTTTAGCATAACCATGGATCGTTACATTCCACCATGAAAAAAACCAATGCCCCCCCTCCTAAAAACACACGAATTTCGAAATCCAAAGCTCCAAAGGCCTCAACAAGTCACGGGCTATGGCGATCTAGCACCACCCACCAAGAAAACGAAAAGGGGCCAGACAAGAATGCGGCAATGAATCAAGAGAAGGGCACTCACAAAACCAATATGATATCCACCGCTTCCCTTCGGGGGGGAATCTTACGGGGTGGACGAAAGTAAAGCCTACGTTCGCAAAAAACGGAAAACCCTAAAAAAGAGGGAAATTTTTTCCGCTCAGTAGAGAAACAGGGCAAGTGGGTGGTGGCTGAGTGGCCCGGCAGGACAACCTGCGATCACGGGGCTCGCGACAAAAAGCTTTCAAAAGACGAAACCCGAAAAACGTTTCGCATGACTCGATCAAACAAAAGACGCACCCCCCACCCCCCCGGCCGATACTTCTGCAGGTGCCCAAAACAAACTGGTCCCGGAACAAGAACTAGAGGAGAAGGAAAAAAAAACCAGAAAGTGGACAAATTTGGGCGTCGAATCCAAAAGCGTGGCAGCCTTTGAAATCTCAACGGAATGTACAAGAAGAGGCGATAGTGGAACGTAAAAAGAGGGTGTGGTCCTCGGGGGCGGAGTGATTCTTGCGGGGGGGGGGGGGGGGAGAGAAAGAAAATAGAGAGAAAGAGGTTCTTGAAATAGGAGGGAGGGGGTCACACGAAATTTTGGAACGAGGGGATTCAAAGGAGCGGCTCAAAAACAGAAAGGAAGAAAATGCAAAAGCAGAAGATGAAGAAACAAAGAAAAGGTTCGAGGTTGTCGCATGCAATCTCTTCTGCTCTGCCTGTTTCGAACATCCCTTTACCTGTCCATTTCTTGCGCTTAATATTTTGCATTTTGGTAATCAATTGAGCGAGTGTACGACGGGGTCTTTCGAGTCGGCTTGAAGGATTTGGAGGAGATAAAAAGGGGGTCGTAAGTACGTGCGCTCCCCCCCCCGCGTATCAATGGTCGCTATTTCGGATTCCCTAAGAGGTATTTCGATTAGTTTTGGAAAAGGCACGCTTATTTTGATTACGTTGCGTGTGTTTGTGTAAGAACTCTAGAATCACGGTGTATTTCGAATTGGGTGTGGAAAAGTGCGCGATTGTATGAATCTTCCTGGCTTTCGGCGATTTTTCCTAGGGAAATAATCTCTCGGTTGCAGATTATGTTTCTACACGGTACCAGATAATAGCCATGGACAATATTCGACTCGTATTCTCCGTTTATACAAGGAAAAACCTAATTTGTGATAAGACAAGGTGTTACACCAATAATGTATAGAATGAAGTCACATCTTTTTTTTTACAATACCAAGAAGATCAGCTTTCCATAGTCCTTGGAATGGATGGAGTGGCATGTTCAGGAGAATAAAAGCATGTCCTTCTTTGAGTAAAAACGAAAAAACTACTACGAATTAAGGGAATTTATTGGATAATCCTTAGATAATACTATGTCCCTACTAGACCACAGTGATTAAAAAAAATTATATTTACTATGCTCTCGTGCTATGGACCACAGGAGCACCACCAGATTCCATGATTGCCGCCGTCCGTTACCTCCAATTAAAGGCTTTTCGTTTGCACCATAGATGGAAATTGTGAATCACTTATCTTAGGTGCAATCACCATTCATTAAGTTACAACATAAGATTGTAAAATGTTGTCTTCACCATAGTTCAAATAAGGGTTAACAATACAAATGATCTCTGAATTTTGACCTAATATTCAATATGGTATACGAACTTTTAATTTGTTTAGTGTGGTTCATGAATTCTAGCCCAATGTGCAATGTCGTACCTGAACCTTTAATTTATTCAATGCGGTTCATGAACTTTTGGTAAATGTTTAAATTAGTCCCTAAACTATATAAAATATCTAATGTCATCCTTTCATTAAATTAAATTCACGGACAATATTGAATATTATTTTGAATATGTACCAAAAGTTCAAGAATCTTATTGAATAAATTAAAAGCATATAGACGATATTGCAATATTGAACTAAAGTTCAAGGACCACATTGAACAAATTAAAAGTTTAGAGATGACGTTGCACATCGAATCGAAATTCAAGGACTATTTAGAGTACAAAAGTGTGTCATTATGGCAATTTTAAGGGATTGGTGCACCCAAACGGATACGTCAGCATCATTTTATCTCCCGAAAAGTAGGGAAGTTAGAAGGGGAAAGGGAAAAGATGCCAAACAGATAGCTAATTGAGCTCAATCTAAGGAGGGAAGTCGGCCATCATTAACTTGGTTGATTGATTGATTATAAATCAAATCGATGACATTCTAGAAAACGGTGATGCTCATGTCAAACCGCACCAGAATGTTTCGAGCATATTCCTAAATCGATTTGTCCAGTCATTTCAAATCAAGTCGTTCTCGTTTTCAAGGTTGATGTGTAGATAAATGAAAATTGGTCAATATAATCGATTCAATTTCTACGAGCACAATTCGAGAAAATTATCAAAAAAGTAATAAATTTATTGTACTTGTGCCAATTCTGTTCTAAATTTTTTAATTTGGGCAATTGAATCTTAAACATTTTGACAATTTGCCAATATAGTCCATCCGGCTAATTTTGGCGGAAAATCGCTAAAGTGGACGCCTGACATCCTACGTGGCACCGCTAGCACTGACGTAGACAATTCTTTGCAACTTTTAGTATTTTTTTTGAATTTATTATTTATTTTATCTTTTTTTTTCTTTATTGCAGCCGGCGAGGGCCACTGGGTGAGGGCCTACAAGCCCTCGTTGGTTGCTGGCGAGGGTCGCTGCCCTCAGCCAGCCCTCATCGGTCATCGCCTAAGACCGGCTATCAGCGAAAAGGAAAGAAAAAAAATAAAAAACGAAAAAAGGAGAAACATTCAGAAAATTTTACAAAGTTGTTCACGTCAGCGTCGAGGCCACGCCACATAGGATGGCTAGTGCTATTGGATCGCCACGTCAACGTTTTTTTTTTTTTTTCGTTGAAATTGACCGAAAGGACTATATTAAAAAATCGTCAAAATGTTTAAAACTGAATTGGCACAATTAAAATGTTTAAGATTGAATTAGTATAAGTACAATAAGTTTATAACTTTTTCCGTAATTTTTCCAAAATATATCCGACGTTTATCTAGACTAGCTTGTATAAACAAATTTCCACACGGATTGTATATCTTAAAAGGTATTCTCTTAGTTATCGTTTTGGAGTTGGAGGAACTTTATGTGGATGGTTGAAAACGTGTTCTTGTCGTGCAAGGAAAGGGCCCATCCCCTTTCTTTCCGTCACAGAGAACATTATAAACGTGGATAATTTAGCTTCTTGCTCGTCACAAAGAACATCGCTGAACGATGTACAAAAAGATGACGTAATGTGTCGTGAAATTGTTTTACGACGCGACGACGATCCGACGTAAGTAAGTGTTGAAGTGTCGGTAAAAGTTGGGTGGTACGCTAGTTTGCCTTAGAAGTTTCTGCAATCACTGCGGATGTTGATCAGGACCCCAATGAATTTAGGGCCTTTTGACACCCCCTACATTTTGACCTCACTCGAAGAATGACAACTTCTCATCAGATGGAATTCGGCTTATGTCCACACCCATAGCTCAGGCCCACTCTTGAAAAAACAAATTTAAGGTCCACCAAGTGCCCAAAGTAAACCAAAATTCATGGCTTGATCGACCAAATCTCTTTGCAAAAATTTATTTGATGGCATTGATGTTTTCTTCAATATCTTGGTACTCGTTAAGTAGATGACTGATTATATTTCTCGTGGATATTCACCTATATTTATTCATAAAATAATTCATATTTAGAATTGTAATAAGAGCAATCGGCTTCCTACAAGAAAAAAGATCGTGACATTTGTTCCGAAATTTGCATATTTATCTTGTATTTTTTTTTGTTTACAAACCGACCAGATGCGATTATAAATTCATAGTTTCGAGTATCTTTTTCTTTAGCAAATCGAGGCCCATTAAAGTTTTCTCCCAGCTTCTCCGTTGATATCCAGGATTAATCCTGAATCACATTAGGAAGTGACAATATGATTTGTATGTGGTGGAAAAGATACTCAAGATACACCTCGCTACGTCTCAATCTTTAGATTTGATAAGGGATAATGATACAAACAGTCCCTGAATTTTTGCCCAATATACAATGTGATCTTTGAACTTTTGCCCATTGTGCAATATTGTCCTTGAACTTTAACCTAATGTTCAATGTAATCCCTGAACTTTTGGTACATATTCAATATTCCCTAAATTTGAATTAATGGAAGGACTACATTGAACATTTTCAAATAGTTCATGGACTAAATTGAACATGTATCAAGAGTTCGTGGACAGCATTGAATAAATTAAAAGGTCAGAGATCACATTGCACATTGGGCAAAAGTTCATGAACTGTTTGTGTCATTTTCCCATTCGCTAAGATGCACTTTTGAAACCGCTCGGTCTAAGAACTCATCCCCATTCAAGGCTGGCTAATTCTAGCGAGTAGTGCAATTCACGGGCCCCTTCATGACCTTTATTTTTTGCCGAGGCCAGATTTTGACCCGACCAGTCAAACAAAGCCTGGAGATAATACTTGGAGTTTTTTTCAGATTAAAATCACTAATTGTATGTTTGTTATCAAGATCCATTTCTAATTAACACCATAAGATGCCCGGTTTACATTGATAAAGGCTTTTCGGACACTAACTGTATCAACTTATTTACCATAACAAGTTCACATCTTTTCGTCTTCATGCATCCAAAAGTACCATGAAGGAACATGGCTGTAGCAAGAAATTAATGCCCTCCGTGTTGGAAGAAGTTGCAGGGCTGCCACTGCAGGAAGAAGAAGATCCGAGCTGGTGCAATGGGCCCGATGGCCGCTGCTGCTCATGGGCATCATCAAGATCCCACCATTGGTAAAGACACCTCTGCTTATCGTTCACGCCACATGTATCTCTTTTTGTTTTCTCTGTTGGTCAACGATTATGGCTTTATATGGAGTCGTGGGGTTTTCGGTTTGGTTTTAGCAGGAAACGAGGAAAAAAGAAAGTTGGACCTGGCCAATCAGAGATCGTCCTTTCTATTTGGCGCCAAAAATGTTCCGCAGAACAGAGAACCCCCCCAAAAACGATGCACACCATCTCGAACTCCATCATCTTTCTGTGCTCCTCCTTTCTGATCTCTTCTTTTATTTTATATTAGGATGTTCTTGGAGTTAGTGAAAATTAGATAGTGCGACGTACTGTTTGCATCAAAGTATGAGACAAGGAATTCATTCACAATTGCTGAGAGTGATTTCATCTGTACTGCTATCAATATTTAGAACTAAAAGCCAACAGAGTTAGATTCTTTATGAACTTTTCACTGCACAATTCGTGGGGTTATTATTTTGTCGTGGCATACTTACCTGTTTTCGCTGAAGTGGGGTCCTAAGTTTGAGAATCAATGAAATTGGAGAAGGTTGACCTTGTCCTGAAACGTTCTGTCACCGAGTAGTTTCTTGGGGAACCCCGTTCCCCTGGATTTGAGCCATGCCAGTTTGCACTAAAGAAATCGGCACAAACTTGAGACTGCCTCGGAACAGAGGATGCATTTTGGGAAGGAAACTTGATGGAAATCGTCATTAAGAGCAAATTGAGCTGTTGGGTGCTTCTGGTCAACTCACATTGTTGACCCTTTTACTGTTCATAAAGTGTGGGGGAAGAAGAAAAAAGGAAAAGAGCAATATGCTCTGTTCCGCAAAAAGAAAATCAAAGCCTAAAGGGTCAGTCAGAGTCAAGTCTCTTTTAAAACATTCCCCTAATCATCACTCGTAAATGTACTAGCAACCAGAAGCTTTTTCTTTTTCCTCGACTTTGCCTAACCAAACATTTTTCGGCTCTCGGCCAAATACGTAGTGGAAAGCACCTAGGATGGTCGCACTGTCTATAGCAAAATTCTACGGGATTAGTCGATAGTAACTCAAAATCACTCAACACGTTCTTTTAGAGCGAGGTCACAGCAATATAACTCTTTGAAGTGATTTCTTTTCTTGTAATTTATCGAGACTAGAATTGTGTTTGACAAAGTCTTTCCATGAAATGAGAAGTATGGGACAAATTCAAGTGTCGTCGGGTCGACGGCAATTTCTTGAGAGAGAGTGGCGGGGAGGAGTGTCGGTGTCGGAACAGTCCAGCCTGAGAAACTTCCGCCAGAAAATGACCGACTCAACGCAACACGGTGCACTCACTCCCGGTCCCCACTTAACGAACCGAACATCAAAACACACTGACAATTAAGTAGTCTTTGTCTGTCTGTCCCTCTCTCTCTCTCTTTCCCTTTTGCTTCTTTCATCTTTCCACACCCTTTCACTTTTCCTTTCTCATTCTTTACGCCAAGATGCTTCTGAACAAAAGCGTTTTGCTTTATCAACCCCTCAATCGTCGGAGCTTGACTGCGCTTTGATCTGTTGTGCGAAGTACCCTTTTCTGTTCTCCATCCAAAGTTCGAGTCTTTCTTGGTTTTTTCTCATGTCCATTCATCTGGGATCGACTGATCGGCGAATGCTTTTGCTCAGAATTTGCTGATATAAAACTTGGTAGTCGCCAAGATTTGGAGATATGATTTGCCTGAGACCCGAAGTCTTCGACGACGGCGGCGGTAGCGACTCCTGCTTCTCTCCTCGCAATAGCAGCAGTACGAGCAGCCACGGCTTAGTGCTCCCTGTCGACTTGTAGGTGTTATAATCTTAGATCTCCTCACTCTTCTCTAGCTGCTTCACCACTTGTAATTTGAGGTGGTTTTTTGTTTTGTTTTGTTTTGTTTTCCTTTTGTTGATAATGGGTGGTTTTGAACAGGGGAGGTTCGATACAGAGGTATTTAAGGAGAAGTGGCAGGTCAAATTGTCGAATGAGGAGCAAGTCGTTTTCTTCCGGAGATGGATGCTCCACTAATTCTGATTTCGAGGTATAAAATATTTTGCTTTCCTCTGCTCATTTCATGTCGTTAATGGTGAAGCCCTTGCATATGGAATGAATGAATGGTGGATTAGGCTCTTTGGAGTTTTGTTTGAGCAGATTTCGCTGAGTATCTGATGGCAACGCGTATTCAGGAAAAATGTAGCGGGCGAGAGAAAAGTGGGAAGCTGTACACTTACCGATCCCAGCTCGAGCAAGATGTGAGTTCGCCGAAATCTTGTTTGCATGCTATTGATGTTGTGGTTCTGCTTGTTGACAAAGTATTCGTGTTCGGGGTTGGCATTGTATAAAAAACTAGTTGACGGGTGATGCCAATCGAGTTCTGGTTTGGATACATGTTGGCAATGTCTGAAATAGTTTCTTTCTGGTGTTGCGAAGTTCTTTTGAGTGATTTGATTCTTTCTCAATTCTCACCCGATAACTGGAACACCTAATTTCAAATGCTTTCACTATTTGACCATAAAAGCCATATCGATTCTTGTGAAATGCCTTATTGAATATCGCTTGAATGCTGACAGATTGAAAGATTGCAAAAGGAGTTGGAGGAAGAGATTCAGTTACACTTGACCCTGGCAAACGCTATTGAGCACTGTGATCCATCCTTGTCTGACTCATCCAGCCAGCTTCCAGATAAGGTTACTCTCTGTTTCCATTTTCTCTTCTTCGATATTCTCGTTCACATCTCAAGGTCCATCATATGATTGAAGGCCAAGGATCTGTTAGGCAGTATAACATTGTTGGAGACAACAGTGGAAAAACTTGAAGGGGAGTTAATTGTCCTGCAACATCAGCTACATCAAGAAAGGAATGAGCGCCACCTGGCGGAATACAATCTAAGGCATTCTTCCTTTAGGGCTTCATCAGCATCAGAGATTTATCCTAAACTGATGGTCCTCTCTCTCTCTCTTTCTCTCTCTCTCTTTCTCTCTCCATCAAGGTCTTCTTGAATATATAACTTAAATTTATCGATGAAGTCTGGTGTGCTTAACTGCTCTGGTGGATAGGTATTAATTGCGTGTTCTTGGATTAACTGTAGTCAAGAACTATGCATTCTATCCATATATCTAAGTTTTCTTTTGCTTTTACTAGTAGAAGATTAAAAAACAAAATGAGAGAGTTGAGTGATTTAATGCAGCCTATGAATCCAAACGGTGGAGAGAAGAAAGATGTGGAGATTGGATATGTCAGTCGATGGTTAGACGTGACCCAGAGGCCAAATAAGGATATTCTGCAGGAGAACCTATGGCATCACCCTAACCAGCTGTCTGAAGAAATGGTTTTGTGCATGATAGACATTTTTATCTCTCTATCAATTTCACCTAAAGACTCTTCATCTCAAAACATGGCTTCACCGGCCTCACCAATGCGCCCACTCTCCTATAACTCCGCTGCATCCTCCTTAGACTCACCCCTCTGGACTTCACCAGCAAGGAGGTCCTCCGGCTGCGATTTGGAAAGCAGTTATGATGTCTTTGCCAAAGTTGAGACATTTGATCCTTATAGATTTCCTGGTAAGCTGGAGTGGCTGGGAACTGTCGGAGCCTACAACATGGCAGTTCAAGTCTGTGCTCTGTCCGTTGGGAAGAAAGAACTTATTTATGCTGCCGGAGCTCTCAAAAGATTCAGGTCGACACTTGAAACTTCCTTCTAGAGCAATTGATGTATTGTTACGTACAATGGTCTTCTTTTGAATTTCGCAATGAATCTTGTCTCTTCTTTGTGTGTTCAAAGAGTAGATTAATGCATAGAAACTTTTCCTTGCCGCTTTCAGATATTTCAACAGAAGCTTGTTCTATCTAGAGCAAAAATCAGGAAACTCTTCCTAATATTTCTCATTTAAATTGACTGAAGAACTACAATGAAGTCATGATCTGATACTCCTATGCACCTGATCAATTTGTGCCTACTTTCAGAATTAACTCGCAAATTTCTTCAGCAGAGGTTCTAAATGTCGTTGACTTCTCAATTTACCTTCTATTAGGTTCCTCGTGGAGCAGTTGGCCAAACTGGACCCATCTAGAATGACGCACGACGAGAAGCTAGCTTTTTGGATCAACTTGTATAATGCCTTGATTATGCATGTAAATATCTCCATTTTCTGACCTTTGGTTTTTGGGTCAGGTTTTTCTCCTCCTTGCATGTGATCCTCTGTTCAAACCCCTTTGAAAAACCTTCTCATTCACACCTGCACTGAGTATTACCCTCCCATTTATCCTGGATTGATTTGTTATATGATTGGCATTCTCTTTACTAGCTTCTGTATTTTTTCCCCTTCTGGACTACATTCTTTAGATGCCCTGATCTCTTTACTTATTTTATCTACACTTTGCCAGGCATATTTAGCATATGGAATTCCTAGAAGTGATGTCAAATTCTTTTCCTTGATGCAGAAGGTAAGCATTTTATCCTTTCGAACATTCTACGTCTATTTCTTCTCATTTTGAGTTTTTAGTCGCTGGGGAAGGCACCAATGTTAGAAACAGAAAGGCAGTGGATTGAGGAAGCGAGTTAAAAAGAGAAAAGGAAGTGGCTTGATTTCCTCTAATACATGTAAATGGAGTCGTGGTTTTACTGTATTTAATAGGTATAAGCATAACGATGCTTCCATTGGGTCATCGGTAAATAATGGTCTTCTATTTGGTGAAGAGCCATGATAAGCAGCTAAAATTGGCTAGAGGAAATGATTGATAAAAAAATCGCTGCTCTTTAAATTTTGATGTATGTTTGTATCTTCCTGATTCACTTTGACAAAACTTGTCGATAGTGAAATGTTTCTGAATGCTTAAGCAGATGGCTAGCTGCGAGATTCTTATGTTATGGCAACATGATTTCAGGCCATGTACACAGTTGGAGGGCAGTCATTCAGTGCAGCTGAGATTGAATACATCATGCTCAAGATGAAGCCTCCTCCTCATCGCCCACACATTGTATGAATCAGTTCCTTATATGGTTTTGTGTCTTTTCATGGTCATTTCGTCGCAAAAATGAGCTCCCTCATGTTTGTCAGGTCATGACATATGACAGTAACTAGAAATAGGGCATCTGCAATTGTGAGAGAAGAGAAGCGATCTAATGCGTTCTTTAGTTGCTTACATGCTATGTTGATTTGGTATTTGATGCCAGGCTTTGTGCCTAGCTCTCCATGAATTCAAGGAACTCGAAGTGAAGGAAATGTATTCGATCGATCAACCGGAGCCTCTGCTTCCATTCGCGCTAAGTTGTGGGACATATTCTTCACCGGCGGTAAAAGCACCTTTCCCTTCCATTCCCTTTAGTTATTGGAGGCCTCTGGAAAGCACGGATGCTTAGCTTACTACCACATGAATCTGGCAAATGAGATTTGAATTGCTTACTGATGCTTACATTGCTCTTATTAGATGTTCTCTGTGATTGCCATACGATTAGTATTAGCAATTGGAAACTAGACATGCCTTGATGGATGTAAGGTTCCCTCAAGACCCAAAGAAGAGATACTTCTTTCTTTGTATAACTTTGAGCATTTCCTAACGACAGGTCAGAATCTTCAAGCCTGGAAATGTGGCCGACATGCTGAGGCAGTCATTGAAGGACTATGTACGAGCATCGGTCGGAATTAGCAACAAAGGTAAGGTTCTAATTCCGAAGCTGCTCCATTCTTTCACGAAAGAAATCGGGGAGGACGCATCGGTGCCTGAGTGGATCTGCCAATTCCTCCCCGTAGAGCAGGCCAACTTGGTGAGAGAATGTTCGTCCAAGAACAAGTGGCGGCTCCTTGGAACTCGGAGCTTCACCGTCTTACCTTTCTCATCAAGGTTTCGCTACCTATTCCTCTAGCAAGGAAAAAAGCCCCTTTTGATCAACCGGTGAGATCCCATCGAGAGTCGGCATCCGGGTCTTGGTTAGGGTTGTGGAACTAGGAATGATTCCAGGCTTGAATGAAATATGTTTCAAGGCAAGAAGCCACGGAAATGTATTATTTTCTCTTGTTTGGTTCTGCATCCTCATACAGACTCACACAATCATGATATAGATTTGAAGCTGCCATTTTCTTTATCTAGTTGTCATTACATCTGACTGCAGAGAGAGAGAGAGAGAGAGAGAGCAAGCAATCTTCCTTAAAAGCACTGTATACTCGACGAACTAAGCAGCGTCTTTCAACTAACATATTGAGTGCAAACCCTACATTGGGAAAAAGGAACAGAAAGAGATGCTGCACTAATTAAATAACTTATTTTAGCAAACATAACTTAACTGCAGAATATAGCAACAATTTATCCACCGCACTGCACAATGTGGCGAGCATTCTTCGATAATTCAGATGAACTCAAGTAGTTAGTGGTGGTATCCATCCATGTTGTAAAACACAAATGAAATTGGAAGGGTCCAAGTATAAGTTATACATCACTGGCATTGCTTTACAAGAGGAGAGCGATAGCAACAGCCTCGATCTGTCCTTATTGGAACTGCATCAGTGGAAATCGGACTGACGGTATGAATTAGTAGATAACTTATGTCATAGGCTTCTGAAAAGAGAAAGCCCCACTTCATTTGTATAACAAAAATTCATTTAATAGTTCTCTAATTCACTTCTTGATACACATCCTAGGCTTCTACAAATATACCCCCACAAGTAAAAAAAAAACCTTACGATGGGAAAAGAACTTAACTCTCCGTCCGCTACTCAAAATCTTCCTAGGCAATACATGATCGGCTCAAAATCTTCCTAGGCAATACATGATCGGCATTGTATATCTCTTTCGAGGGTAAAACAAGACGGGATAAATCCACATTTTCACCCCATCTCTAGCAAACAATATCAAATGGCAGGAGATCGTGAAAGTCGGCAGAACAAGAGTTGATCTGTACGGAAGGTATGTACCGCAGAAAATCATCACTTGGAAAAGCTCACGAATAATGCAGGTTATGATGGTAGGAGAACCATCAATTGGGCCTTGAAAAGATCGCCAAGAGCTCCACGAACATCCATCTGCATAATTGAAAGATGTTAATCCATCAGATATGTTCATCGCAGGTAAACTATGAACATCATCAGCACCCACTCGACACTTTGAGATCATTTCCAAGTTACTGAATCAATGAATAAAAAATGTTAAAACCCCTTCCAATCCAACTCCGCCCTTCAGTTAGAGCTCAATTAAGCACTTCTCTCGCACTATTTGCTTACAGCAGCAGACATTCCCGCCGTACACTTAAAACCCCGGACTGAGTGAGTAAAAAATTTTGCAAAACTTCATATACTACCCAGGATGGAAAATTGTTGGGGGTTAGCATTAGGTTGAGCGCACGAGAAGTCCTACACTAATCAAGTGAATATTTTCAGTATAATGACGAAAATTAGTCTTATTTTCAGTTGCTAATAAAATACTGATTCCAATAGTGGTGAGTAATCAGAAGGGTAAATCTTGATTTTATTTTCACTTCTGAGGACAAATTAACTAGCAGTAGATTGTAATAACCAAATATTTCCTAAACTAAAAGGAAGGAAAAAAACCAGTTCAAATGGAAGTTATGGGCCTATGGCCTTAACTGAGGAAGACACTAGCTGTTAATCATTTCTTGTTAATTCTTAGAAAATGCAATCGTGTATCATTTCCACAAGTGCAATCCATGTCAAAAGGATTTCAGCATGGTCTACTATGTTTATTAACCATAAAAATATAAAACCTTCTATCATTCTTAAGTGCTGCCAACAGGCGATTGCAGATTCATCAAGATAGAATAATGTTGAGAAGTATTAAAGCTGCCATACCCATCGATCACTAAATATAACAAGAATATTTTTAAAGGAACCATTGAAGAGTCTGGAAGACAGAGATTATTGCAAGGAGGATGTTAAAGAAATCGCAGCTCACAACATTGAACCTGATTAAGCCAGCCTTAGACCAAAAAATAGGCCATGGAAGCAGGAGAGTACCTGATCGCAGCATACAAGTTTTGTTAGTAAAGGATAAAACTCTCTAAGGTGTCTCCTGAAAATTTTACTGTTTATAGAGGACATGCCTTTAAGCACCTGAAAAGAAAAAACACCGTCATTTCTGTAATATCCAGAACTTTCTGTGACAAACAACAACTCATACAATAAAATGATGTGGGCCTATACTTAAATAAATTCGTTAGACGCAGGGAAAGCAAGGGTGAAGAGTTGAGACTGTAAACATCCCCACTAAAGTTTGAGTATCTTGTGCTTGAACAAATGGAATGACAACATTAAATATTTTCATACAATCCAAGGACAAAATTGAACATGTACCAAAAGTGTAGGAACCGCATTAAACAAACTAAAAATTCAGGGACAACATTACACATTGGGCTAAAGTTCAGGGATCACATTGCACATTGGGCCAAAGTTCAGGGAACATTTGTGTCATTTACCCTTCAGGAAACAGTACAGCCAAACGTAGAAAAAACTGCACTGCATCTGAAATTCTCACATCTCACAGTAAAGAATGGTTGGGTGAGTTTTAGTCAAGCTGTCCTTAAATGACAGATAGACGGAATATATATGCCCGAAGAAATAATCACATACTAGTATTGGATTTGAAAAATATACCATTTTTAAAGAAACCAACATGAACTGAGTGTGGAAAAAAGTGGAAGCCTTCATCACTGTTAAGGGCAAATAAAAACAAAAGATTGATGGAAATGATACTTTCTGGAGGTAGATGAAAAATGAAAAATCTCTTATCTGTAAAGGCATAATGATTTCATGCAATATACAGGAGCAGCAGGAGACTATAGCAACTCGAGGCATGTTTCTGAACACAATTTATGCAGACCAACTTAGACAACCAAATCAGGAAAATAACTGACCCTTAAAACCATAATTTCATTCTTTAAGGACTGAAAGATACAGCAGATGTACCTTTACTATGACAGGTGAACGCAACTCCAGAACTCGATGGATATCCATATTAGTGCTTTCCACCACACTGGACTGGAGATCAGATGCCTCCTTGAGCACCTGTTCACAGAATGACACCAGCTTATCTTCAGCAATCCCTACAAGTTTTTCCTCATCACTGTCGAATGAAGTATGATCAGAAGACCCATTGGCTTCAGAATGCTCCTCATTCTTGACACAATGTCCTATTGTCTTTTGTAAGATGTCCAGATAAATGCACGTTCCAGCTAATTCCTGGCGAAGAAGATTAATTGGTGGCCTGCAAAAGATAAACCGCTCACTAGGAAGCCCAATCACCCCATTCTATCAACTGGCAATAGAGCAATAGAAGAAAGTGGAGTTTTTTTTTTTTTTTTTTTTTTGGCTAGAAAGAAGAAAGTGGATTGAATGGTTCTGAGTCCGGACAAACCTTTCAGCAGGAATGTATCGCATTCGCATTCGGAGATTGGAGTATGAATTATAAGAAGTAGCAAATTCCAACACCGAAAACAATATGTCCATTATCGCAATCTTTTGCAGTGCTTTCAACTTGCTCCAGTATTTCCTCTGCAAATTAAGAGGAAGTCATTTTGGTGAGTAATCTTACCGCTCTGTAACAGAAGGAAGCAGCCCTCAAAATGGTAAATAATGTTGATGACTATCATTGTACTATGGCCTCTGGCTGGAGGTGGCCTAACAGTTTGAAAAGACATGCACAGCAGAACAAAGATATAAAATAATACCTGAATACTGTCAATGGCACCAAGAAGTAGTAACTGTGTGATGCATTTTCCTCTAACTGTTTGTAACAATGGAGTCTCCTCCTCATCTTTTGCATCAGGTTCAGTGACATTTGAAACCTACGTAAAAAGTAGATCCGTTAAGAGAAAAGGCAACCCAAAAGCCATTCATCACATGCATCAATGCTTTGAAATATTAAAAGTATCGCCTTCATTGGCTTGCAATGACTAGAATTACCCTAAAATGCTTCAAACAAAGAAAAAAACCCCTTCCGTGAATCACCCGTGAAAGCAAATTACCTTAGAATAATGTAGAAATATCGGTTCTCTTCTCTCCATCCATTCATGTTGCAGTAACAATACAGGAATATGATATATCGGTCATTCCCCATCATCAGTTAAACGAATAGATTGTTCATTGACCTATTATATTTATATCTTTTGCTGGAAAGAGTTAAAGCTGCCATACCCATTGATCTGATATGATGATTGACACAGTAACTCAAGAAAATTATTCTAAGAACTTGAATAAGTAAAGCAAATGACTGGTTTGCAGTCAATGGGTTTGTTGAAAAGAAAGTCTCCAGATTGACAGTGGAAGTACATATAAAGTCCTAGCTCCATATTCATTCGATAAGTACATACGATACTAATCAAGAAAGAAATACACATTATGTGCCAAATGAGAAAATAAATTCGTTTCATATCCGACAAGTGTACCTATAATACAGTAGCAATTACAAAAAAGAGAATAAAAGAGATGTGTAAAAATTTTCGATTTTCTACCTTCCACACATTAATTATCAAACACACGACTCAAACCTGTACATAGAGGATATGTCACGCCATCACGTTAGATGGCAATGAAATTAATTTTGGGAGAACGTAAGTACACTATCAATTGCAACCAAATTAAGTTTGGACGGATGATTAATAACAACCACTATATTACGTTTTGACAGAGCATAAATGCAGACTTCTTCCCGACGTCACAACAAGGTAGGGGCATGTCCAGGTAAAAACTAACTAGCTGAATTGTGTAACTATCCTACAGAAATGAAGAAGATATGTTATTCTATAAAGATGATAGATGGAACGTTACCTTAGCTGGAGAAGATGGCACTGAAGCATCCAAAGCATGACCTTTCGATTTGGACGTAAAACTTCGAAGGAGGAGATTGTCCATCATATTCCCCATTATTCTTTGACCAATAGTCTGACTACGTTGAATGCCTCCTTCTACTGATTTCTGAGATCTTCCTGATGGTGATGGAACACCTACAATGGATAGGGTTAGTGTGTTAAACTTTCACAATCTTCTAAAATTGTTGCTCGAGTTTGGGCTTCCCTAAGCTAGTGATCGACAAAATGGTTTTAAAAGCATTCATTTACTTTATTTTTTACAAAATTCC